GGGGTTTCACCGGGTTAGCCAGGATGGTCTCGATCTCCTGGCCTCGTGATCCACCCGTCTCGGCTTCTAAAGTGCTGTCCCAAAGTGCTGGGATTACAGGCTTGAGCCACCGCGCCCGGCCACATGGATAATTTTTCTAATACATATTTCAGAATCTCCATTGGTGGCAATAAATAGGTTTTTTTATTGTATAAGTAGAAAATCTTTTACATAGTGAAATATGTTAACAGATGATTGGTATCTTAAAGTTAGAGCATTTTGATAACAGGTAACCATAAAACTACTTCTAATCACCATATCGTTTCTTGTGTTTTTGGACTAGGCATCATGTGAATTTTCTGTTTGCTCCTGCAGATTTACTCTCTACTCCTCTGCATGCTGCATTGTACTTTGGCATGTATGCGCTGTATTAGTAGACTCCTTTGTCCTCTGGCTTTCTGTTGAGTTTTGCCAATGTGAGCCACCAGCAGGAAATTAGAGGGCAGGGAATAAAATGAGGTTGTATTATTTACTCTTCACCATTTAGATTCTCGGATTCCTTCCTTGTTATATGCCATGGGTAACTGGATTTTCTACTAAGGCCACAGCTACTATTGGGAAGCCTTCTCCATTTGGGTATCCTCCTGGGGTTCCCAGTAACTGCTCTGTCTTTTTACCCTTTCAGATATTGGGTTTGTGATAGTCCATTTTGTGCTGCTATAACAGAATACCACAGACTGAGTAATTAATAAAGAACAGAACTTTATTGGCTTACAGTTGTGGAGGCAAGGAAGTCCAAGATTGAGGGACTGGCATCTGGCAAGGGCCTTCTTGCTGCGTCATTGAACATAGCAGAAGGCGAGAGGGTGAGAGAGAGACAGAGAGAGAAGGGGACAGAGCTCATGATTTTATAACAAACCCACTTCCATAATAATGGCATTAATCCATTCATGATGCTGGAGACGTCATGGCATAATCACTGCTCATTCAGTCCCAGCTCCCAACACTGTATATTGTTTCCAACATATGTTTTTTAGGGGCCACATTTTAACAGCAGCAGGGATATTAATGGTTTTCTCAGTGCTGCTAGCCCTGGGGTACTATTCTGTTCATTGTTGGAAACCCTGTCCACATCTTTGTAGATAATACCCTATTAGACAATTTAAAAAGTTTTTTTTAATGTGTACAGCCTAAATCTCACCACTACTAGCCAATTTGAATGTATCATTTGGTTTCCTGCCAAGACCAATACAACAGCCAGTGCTTATACATTGGAGTACTTTTTAACAACTGAAGACAAACCTGGCTTCACTTAATGTTAAGAACAGACTTTTTCTGTTTCGTTTTAATACAATTAATGGTAAGACAAAGGAATTTTGAAAAGGTCCTGTATTTACATAGTACATTTGTAAAACAGACTCAGTTTTTAAAACCCTGATATTTAAGATAAATATTTAAGATTAATACTCCTGGCATATAATACTAATAGAGCATAAGAAGTGGAGGCCTATGCTAGATGTGGTGACTCACACCTGTAATCCCAGCACTTTGGGAGGCCGAGGCGGGTGGATCATGAGGTCAGGAGTTCAAGATCAGCCTTGCCAAGATGGTGAAACCCCATCTGTACTAAAAATACAAAAATTAGCCGGGTGTGGTGGTGGGTGCCTGTAATCCCAGCTACTTGGGAGGCTGAGGCAGAGACTTTGAACCTGGGAGGCGGAGGTTGCGGTGAACCGAGGTTGCGCCACTGCATTCCAGCCTGGGTGACAGAGCGAGACTCCATCTCAAAAAAAAAAAAAAAAAGAAGTGGAGACCTAGATCTTTTTATAATCTTATAGTAACTCACTTCAATTTTACCTTAGATGTACCTTAAGAATAAACATATTTTCTCTAATTCTCTTACGTATTAATTTAGTTTCAGTTAATATTCCTCAAATATGTGTATATTTGTGTAAGTTTATATATATGTTTTAAAAATATTGTTATAGGCGGCCGGGCGCGGTGGCTCACATCTGTAATCCCAGCACTTTGGGAGGCCGAGGTGGGCAGATCACGAGGTCAGAAGATCAAGACCATCCTGGCTAACATGGTGAAACGCTGTCTCCACTAAAAATACAAAAAATTAGCCAGGTGTGGTGGCATGCACCTGTAGCCCCAGCTACTCGGGAGGCTGAGGCAGGAGAATCACTTGAACCCGGAAGGCAGAGGTTGCAGTGAGGCAAGATCCCGCCACTGCACTCCAGCCTAGGTGACAGAGTAAGACTCCATCTGGAAGGAAAAGAAAAGAAGAGAAGAGAAGAGAGAAAAGAAAAGGTTAAAATTATAAGGAAGAGAAAATATATTTACTGTTCATTAAGTGGGAAGTGGATCATCATCATAAGTCTTCATCCTCATTGTCTTCACATTGAGTATGCTGAGGAGGAAGAGGAGGGGTTGGTCTTGCTGTGTTAGGCATGGCAGGAGGTGGAAGGGGAGGTGAGAGAGAAAGGCATACTCACTGTAACTTCATGGAAATACATAGTAATTTCTGTCTGACTTTTTTATACTTTTCATTTCCCTAAAAAATGTTCTATGTGGTAACAGTTCTTTTCCCACCATTTGCTTTAGTTTCACTGCCTGTATAGAAGGGTCCATGTTGTAAAAGAAGTCAAGAAGTCTTGAAAAATCAGAGCCCTTCTGCCAGATTGTCTAATGTCAGTTTCTTTTCTGGCACTGCTGCTTTTACATCTTCTTCATCATCTGGCAATGGTTTGGAGGCACTCATCTCTATCAAGCCATTTTCTGTTAATATCTCTGGTGTGTCTGTTAGCTCTCGAATTTCTCCAAGATCCAAATTTTAAAACCCTCCACCCCCCAGCCCACCTTTCTTTTCATATCTACCATATCTTTCATCATTTCATTGATTGGCTCTGTCATAAATCCTGTGAAGATGTGCACAACACTTGGACACAGTTTTCTCCAGCAGAAATTTGTTTTGTGTTTGATGTCTTTCACAGCTTTTTCTATAACAATGGCATCTTCAGTGGTGTAATCCTTCCAGACTTTCATGATGTTTTCTTTATTGGGGTTCTCTTCTTTTTTTTTTTTTTTTTTTTTTTTGAGACGGAGTCTCGCTGTCACCCAGGCTGGAGTGCAGTGGCATGATCTTGTCTCACTGCACCCTCCATCTCCCAGGTTCAAGCAATTCTCCTGCCTCAGCCTCCCAAGTAGCTGGACTACAGGTGCACGCTGCCACATCTGGCTAGTATTTTGTATTTTAGTAAAGATGGGGTTTCACCATGTTGCCTAGCCTGGTTGCAAAACCCTGAGCTCAGGTAATCTGCCTGCCTCGGTCTCCCAAAGTGCTAGGATTATAGGCGTGAGCCACTGCGCTCAGCCCACGGTTCTCTTCTATAGCATCAACAGTACTTCCCATAGAGTAATGTGTGTAATGAACCTTAAAGGTCCTTATGACCCCAGATCTAGAGGCTGAACTAGAGATGTTGTGTTCGGGGGCAAGTACAACACTTTGACGCCTTCAGTGTTGAACTTGTGGGGTTCTGGGTGGCCAGGAGCATTGTCCAATAACAAAAGAACTTTAAAAGGCAGTCCCTAATTAAAAGAATACTTTCTGACTTCAGGGACAAAGCATTGATGGAACCAGTCCAGGAAAAGGGTTCTTGTTATCTAGGCCTTGTTGTACAGACGAAAGCCTGGTAACTGGTGTTTATCTTTTTCCTTTAAGGCTTAGGGGCTAGCAGCTTTATAGATAAGGTAATAATAATAATAAACCAGACTGCATTTGTACAAAATAGTAGAGTTAGCCTATCCCTTTCTACCTTGAATCCTGGTGCTTCTCTTCCTTACTAATAAATGTCTTTTGAGGGATGTTTTTTCAGAATAGGCACTTTGATCTCCATTAAAAACCTGTTCTGATAGATATCCTTTCTTCTCAATGATTGTCTTAATGGTGTGTGGGAACTCATCTGCTGTCTTTTGGTTGGCAGAAGCTGCTTCTGCTGTTTTGTTGACATTTTTAAAGCCGAACTTCTTTGTAAAATTATCAAGCCATCCTTTGCTGGCATTAAATTCTCCAGTTTTAGATACTGTTAGGGTTCTCCAGAGGGACAGAACTAATATAATATATGTATATATGAAAGGGAGTTTATTTATTTTTTTTGAGACAGGGTCTCCCTCTGTTGCCCGGACTGGAGTGCAGTAGTGCGATCTTGGCTCGCTGCAACCTCTGCCTCCTGGGTTCAAACGATTCTCCCATCTCAGTCTCCTGAGTAGCTGGGATCACAGGCGTGTGCCACTACAGCCCAGCTAATTTTTGTGTTTTTATTTATTTGATTTATTTAGAGACGGAGTCTTGCTCTGTTGCTCAGGCTGGAGTGCAGTGGGTCAATCTCAGCTCACTGCAACCTCCGCCTCCCGAATTCAAGCAATTCTCCTGTCTCGGCTTCCCTAGAAGCTGGGATTACAGGCGCACGCTACCATGCCTGGCTAATTTTTGTATTTTTAGTAGAGACAGGATTTTGCCATGTTGGCCAGGCTGCTCTTGAACTCCTGACCTCAGGTGATCCAGCCACCTCAACCTCCCAAAGTTCTGAGATTACAGGTGTGAGCCACTGCGCCTGGCCTAATTTTTGTATTTTTCGTAGAAACGAGGTTTCACCATATTGGTCAGGCTGTGCAAGGGAGTTCATTTGAGATAATTGGCTCACATGATCACAAGGCAAAGTTCCACAATAGGCTGTCCACAAGGTGAGGAAGAAGGAAGCCAGTAGTGGCTCAGTCCAAGTCTGAAAGCCTCAAAACCAGGGAAGCTGACAGTGCAGCCTTCAGTCTGTGGCTGAAGGCCTGAGAGCCCCCAGCAAACCACTGGTGTAAGTCCAAGAGTCCAAAGGCCAGAGAACCTGAAGTCAGATGTCCAAGAGCCGGCGGAACAGATGAAAGCATCCAGCACAGGAGAAAGATGAAAGCCAGAAGAGACTCAGCAAGCTGGCTTATTCCACTTTCTTCTGCCTGCTTTGTTGTAGCTGCACTGTCAGCCCATTGGATGGTGTCCACCCACATCAAGGGTAGGTCTTCCTCTCCGAGTCCACTGACTCAAATGTCAGTCTCCTCTGGCAACACCTTCACAGACACACCTAGAAACAATACTTTACCAGCTATCTAGGCATCCCTCGATCCAATCAAGTTGACACCTAATATTAATCATCACAGATACTTTACCATCCTTTTGCTTTAAGCTGTCATAACTCTGCTTTTTCTTGAATCATATTAATCTATAGCTATGCCTTTCTTACAAGCAGTCCTGCAGCACATAAAAGCTGCATTTTCAATACAAGATAAAAAGTTGGCCATGCACGGTGGCTCACACCTATAATCCCAGCACTTTGGGAGGCTGATGTAGGTGGATCACTTGAGGTCAGGAGTTGGAGACCAGCCTGGTTAACGCGGTGAAACCCCATCTCTACTAAAAATATAAAAATTAGCCAGGCATGGTGGTGGGTGCCTGTAATCCCAGCTGAGGCAGGAGAATTGTTTGAACCTAGGAGGCGGAGGTTGCAGTGAACCAAGATTGCACCTTTGCACTCCAGCCTGGGTGACAGATTGAGACCCTGTCTCAAAAAGACAAGGAAAGAAAAAAAAAGATATTTGGCAAAAAGCGCAAGGTTTTCATGCCTACTGGCATAGCTGCAGGAACAGCTTCACAAATTTCCTTTTCTTTCTTTCTTTTTTTTTCTTTTTACAGTGGTTCTTACACTGGATTCATGTATCTTGAAATGGCAGGTAGCCACAGCTGCAGACCCCAACCTATGGTATATATCAAGCAGTTCACCTTTTTCTTGTAATGTCATGACTGTTTCCTGCTTCTTGAGAGCACTTCCAGCATCAGTTATGGTGCTTTGTATTAGTCCTGTGGTGTTATTTAAGGTTTGTAGTATTGTACTAAACATGTTGAAAATTATGTAAGAACCACAAGAGATCAATTTTTACTGTGATTTGCAATTTACTGGAGAGATGAACTGCTCACATAGAGATGAATAATGTCACATGGCATTTTAAGCAGATACTCACAACCCTTGAGCTCACTGCAATAGCAGCAGGAGGTGGCTAAGAAATTATAGTAGTATATTATGTACTGCAGTTAATTTTATGCAGTTATGACTTTTTTTTTTTTTTTTTGAGACAGAGTTTCACTTTTGTTGCCAGGCTAGAGTATAATGGGGCAATCTTGGCTCACTGCAACCTCTGCCTCCTGGGTTCAAGCGATTCTCCTGCTTGTTTAGCCTCCCGAGTAGCTGGGATTACAGACGCCTTTTGTATTTTTAGTGGAGATGGGGTTTTGCCATGTTGATCAGGCTGGTCTCAAACTCCTGACCTCAGGTGATCCACCCGCCTCAGCCTCCCAAAGTGCTGGGATTACAGGTGTGAGCCACCACGCCTGGCCCATGCAGTTATGATTTAATACTATATCTTTATGTTTGAATAAATTTCTCTTGACTGCAAATGGCACAATGTAATGTCTGTTTGTGCGGGTAAGTTTTGATAACTCTATTATAAAATTAAAAATTGCACATATGGTAATAAATGATAAACTAGTATCTACATTTATTTTATGCATTCACAGCATACTTTTTCTTGATTTTTTTGGCATTTCTAGTCTATAATGTTACAAATTATTACAAATTTTCAAAATTTGTTTACAAATTTTCAAAATTTGTTTACAAATTTTAAATTGTTACAAATTTTCTAAATTGTTACAAATTTTCAAAAAATGTTTAATATATTTATTGAAAGAAAATCCATTAATAAGTTGATCCACACAGTTCAAACCTGTGTTGTTCAACTGTATGCTTTCCTCCAAAGCATGCCTAGTCCTTTTCTAAATAGTTTCTTGACCTTATCACGTATTATGTGTTATTGAAATTGGTTCCTTTCCTTGTACTCCTGCCACTGTTTCCATTTGCTGTAAACCATAAGATCAGAGCATCTTAAACAGAGCCACTAAAGTAACCCTTGTCCCACATAAAAGACGCATCCTGCTCTGAATGTAGAAGATATAGCGGATTTTATCCAGGGTGTCAGTAATACATAGTTTTTTCTTGGCTGAATCTGTTAGCTTGGACATTTGTTCTTCAGTAAGTAGAGACAACGGAGCTGCATTACTTTGTCTCTTCAGGCACAGTATCACAGAAACTGGCATATCTACTTTTTATGGCACTGCTGTGTTATGTGTTGATTTCTGTTTTCACCCATACACTCAGTCTTTTTTTGTTTTTTTCTGAGACGGAGTTTCACTCCTGTTGCCCTGGAGTGCAGTGGCACGATCTCGGCTCACTACAACCTCTGCCTCCTGGATTCAAGCAATTCTCCTGCCTCAGCTTCCCGAGTAGCTGGGGATTACAGGCATGCACCACTATGCCTGGCTAATTTTTGTATTTTGAGTAGAGACGGGGTTTCTTCATGTTGGTCAGGCTGGTCGCGAGCTCCTGACCTCAGGTAATCCACCCGCATCAGCCTCCCAAAGTGCTGGGATTACAGACATGAGCCACTGCACCCGGCCCCATCCACTCAGTCTTAACAGATATTCTTGTGTTTGTCTTTGTAATGCCCTTTTAATCATTAGTATATATAAGAAGATTATGGACAGGTTTTTCTCTTTCTCCCCTCCTTGGAAGCCATATTAAAACAATTATTGTCCAGACACAGTAGCTCACTCCTGTAATCCCAGCACTTTGGGAGGCTGAGGCAGGTGGGTCAATGGGGCCGGAATTTGAGACCAGCCTGGCCAACATGGCGGAACCTCGTTTACACTAAAAATACAAAAATTCGTGCAATTGGTGCACGTCTGTAATCCCAGCTACTCATGAGGCTGGGGCGCGATAATCAATTGAACCCAGGAGGCAGAGGTTGCAGTGAGCTGAGATCGCGCCACTGCACTCTAGCCTGGGTGACAGAGTGAGACTCTGCCTTAAAAAAAAAAAAAACCCAAAAATTATTAATGCATTTGATTCATTGAAGGCTTTATACTATGTTTTCTTTGGATAAACATATTGGTACAATGAAGCATGCCTTTATCACTGGCTTCATCTAGAAAGGCAGATAACATCTGTTTGGCAAGCTTCACAAAATTCATTTGGAATTATAGAACCAAGATTAACTATGTAGGTGTGCATTGTGGATTGCATTCTGCCAGTGGCCCTGGCTTACCAAATATGCATTGAGCTTATCTTGGGTTCTACGGTCTAGCCCTTTTTTAAGACTTAAAGAAGGGATGCAGTTTCAGCTTTCTACCTATGACTAGCCAGTTTTCCCAGCACTATTTATTAAATAGGGAGTTCTTTCCCCATTTCTTGTTTTTGTCAGGTTTCTTACAAAAATTAATTCAAGATGGATTAAAGACTTAAATGTTAGACCTAAAATCATAAAAACCCTAGAAGAAAACCCAGGCAGTACCATTCAGGACATAAGCAGGGGCAAGGACTTCATAACTAAAACATCAAAAGCATTGGCAACAGAAGCCCAAATTGACAAATCAGATCTAATTAAACTAAAGAGCTTCTGCACAGCAAAAGGAACTACCATCAGAGAGAACAGGCAACCTACAGAATGGGAGAAAATTTTTACAATCTACTCATCTGACAAAGGGCTAATATCCAGAATCTACAAATAACTTAAACAAATTTACAAGAAAAAAACCCCATCAAAAAGTGGGTGAAGGATATGAACAGGCACTTCTCAAAAGAAGACATTTATGTTGCCAACAGACACATGAAAAAATGCTCATCATCACTGGCCATCAGAGAAATGCAAATCAAAAACACGTACCATCTCACACCATTAGAATGGCAATCATTAAAAAGTCAGGAAACAGGTGCTGGAGAGGATGTGGAGAAATAGGAACACTTTTACACTGTTGGTGGGACTGTAAACTAGTTCAACCATTGTGGAAGACAGTGTGGCCATTCCTCAAGGATCTAGAACTAGAAATACCATTTTACCCAGCCATCCCATTACTGGGTATATACCCAAAGGATTTTAAATCATGCTGCTATGATTTATGCACACATATGTTTATTGTGGCACTATTCACAATAGCAAAGACTTGGAACCAACCCAGATGTCCATCAATGATAGACTGGATTAAGAAAATGTGGCACATATACACCATGGAATACTATGCAGCCTTAAAAAAGGATGAGTTCATGTCCTTTGTAGGGACATGAATGAAGCTGGAAACCATCATTCTGAGTAAACTATCGCAAGGACAGAAAACCAGACACCTCATGTTCTCACTCATAGGTGGTAATTGAACAATGAGAACACTTGGACACAGGATGGGGAACATCACATAGTGGGGCCTGTCGTGGGGTGGGGGGAGGGGGGAGGGATAGCATTAGGAGATGTACCTGATGTAAATGATGAGTTAATGGGTGCAGCACACCAACATGGCACATATATACATATGTAACAAATATGCATGTTGTGCACAGATACCCTAGAACTTAAAGTATAATAATAAAAAAAAGACTTAAACAAAACTTATCTTGCCACTTATTTGTCCCTTAATTTCCCACCATTAAAAGCTCATTTGATGTTCCCTTACATATCCTGCTTAATTTCTCTGAACCTTAATTTCCCTGCTATAGCATAAGTATGTCAGATGGTATCCTTAAGTTTCTTTCTATTGACTGAACACCCTCTCTGTGTTGTGTTTACAAATAGTGGAAACGAAAATTTAGCAAGACAGGAGAAAGGAAGGCTCTGGATTATCAACTCATTGCAGACTGCAATTACCAGCTCCATTTCAGCGGCTGCATCTTTTTTTGATTCTTCTATGGGCTTAAGGTAGTGGTAGTTATATGGGTGAAGGTAAAATATCTTTGTGGAATTTTAACTCTAAAGATTTTAAATTGTTGATTGGATTGCAGTCTCTTTGTAGTACTGCCTATACAATATTCTTGGTGCCTACCAAGTATTTGACTACTTCATTCTGGCCTAAATATATGGAATGAATTTAGGTATGACTGTTGCTAACCTGATTTCTTGTTGCAGACAAAACTTACCTGGGGCCCATACTTATGGTTTTACATGCTTCGGGCTGCTACATCAACTCTCTCAGGTATTGCTTTTCTGCTTGAATACTGTATAATTGCTGTAACATGCTTCAGCAACAGGAGCTTTGCTAAATAGGATGTTTCCAAACTGAAGGAGAAACAGTAGGGAGTTAATCACTGTCCTCAGGAGCTAGCTAGCACTGGGACATAGTAACCTAACTTGTACTTCACATTAAAACATTCTTCAGCTTCCAGTATGGTTTTTTTTTTTTTTTTTTTAGGAATGAAAAATGACTATATTAGTTTAGATACTGTTTTCAAGTTCTTAAACCCTTTCTCTTAATAGCTATTTTGCTGCTTTGTCATTTGGTTTCCAATCGATAACATTCTCAATCTGTCTCACTGCTTATTCTAAAGCCTGTATTACAGTTAATTTATATTTCCTTTTTTTTTTTTTTTTTTTTTTTGAGGCGGAGTCTTGCTCTGTCGCCCAGGCTGGAGTGCAGTGGCACTATCTCGGCTCACTGCAAGCTCCGCCTCCTGGGTTCACGCCATTCTCCTGCCTCAGCCTCCTGAGTAGCTGGGACTACAGGCGCCTGCCACCACGCCCGGCTAATTTTTTTGTATTTTTAGTAGAGATGGGGTTTCACCGTGTTAGCCAGGATGGTCTCGATCTCCTGACCTCGTGATCCACCCATCTCGGCCTCCCAAAGTGCTGGGATTACAGGCTTGAGCCACCGCGCCTGGCCTAATTTATATTTCTATATCATTAATATTTCATTTCTTTAATTGAGATGTGACTAAGTCATATTTGAAGGAAATGAATTATCAACTTATAACTTAATGTGAATTTAAAATATAGGTTTTAAATTAGAAAGCTTTCTTCTGTTTCCATTTTTAACTCCCTCATAGCTTTTTATCACTTTCTGCTTTTTAATTAGAGCTAGTTGTGAATAGTAATTGATTCAACAAACATTTACTGAGCACTCAATATATGCTAGACAGGTTGGTGTAATGGAAAGAGCATGAGCTTTAGATTCAGACCTAGCTTTGAACTTTGGATCTGCTTTATCAATTTGGGTAAGTTCTTTAACCTCTCTACGCCTCACCTTTCACAGTGCCTGGCACATGGTAGGCACTCAGTGAGTGTTATACTACAAGCCATTCCCTTCCTCCAGCCCAATGATATCCCAGCTTTCTGAGTATACATTTTTCTTTTTTGAGACAGAGTCTTGCTCTTTCATCAAGGCTGGAGTGCGGTGGTGTGATCTTGGCTCACTGTAACCTCCACCTCCTGGTTTCAAGCTATTATCCTGTCTCAGCCTTGTGAGTAGCTGGGATTACAGGCACCCGCCACCATGCCCAGCGAATTTCATATTTTTAGTAGAGATGAGGTTTCAACATGTTGTTCAAGCTGGTCTTGAACTCCTGACCTCATGTGATCTGCCTGCCTCAGTGTGAGGCATGAGCCACCATGCCCGGCAGTATACACTTTTCTTAAAGACATAGACATATAACAGATATACCTAGTGATAAGTGTTCTAATACACATATGAAAAGACTTGTTGGGAGTTCTGAAGCCACTAATACTTCTTGAAGAAATCAGGGAAGATATACAGAAGAGAGATATATGAGGTTTTTATAATCTCCTTGAGAGCAGGAACAGTAACTCTTGTATTCCTACAGTGTCTTACACATAGAAAGTGCTCAAGAAATTTTTATAGAATTATATAAGTCTTTTAACTTTTGTGTCTTCAGTGTGTGACTTCCTTGGAGAGAAGATTGCATCTGTTTTGGGTATCAGCACCCCGAAGTACCAATATGCCATTGATGAATATTATCGGATGAAGAAGGAGGTATGCCTCCTTTTTACGTTTTCTTGATTCAGTTCGGTTTGCCATGGACTTGATGGGTTGCATAATGAGCAGATGTATTTTCTAACTGCCCAACATGTAGTTCTCTTATGCTAGGCATTTCATTCTAGAATCATTAATTTCTTTTATCAAAGTAACATACATGTAGGGACATGGATGCAGCTGGAAACCATCATTCTCAGCAAACTATCACAAGAACAGAAAACCAAATACCACATGTTCTCACTCATAGGTGGGAATTGAACAATGAGGTCACTTGGCCACAGGAAGGGGAGCATCACACACCGGGTCCATTTGTGGGGAGGGGGTATGGGGGAGGCATAGCATTAGGAGATATACCTAATGCAAATGATGAGTTAATGGGTGCAGCGCACCAACATGGTACATGTATATATATGTAACAAACCTGCACGTTGTGCACATGTACCCTAGAACTTAAAGTATTAAAAAAAAAAAAGTAACATACATTTTGGAATTCTTTAAAACTGGAATTTCCCTATGATCTGTATGCAAAATAAGCTAGATTTAATTGTCTTAGTGCTGTGAGATGCCTTATATACATTATTTAATCTTCACACGCCTCTTTTTGGATTATCATTCTAAGATGAAGAAACAAGATACTTAGAGCACATGGACTAGATGTAGGACAAGTGGAGTGGGTTTGACACAGACCAAGTACAGGAAATGTGTATGTGCCAGGTGTTAGTGCACAAAAATTTGAGGGCAGTTTAAAAATAGTGAGGTCTTAAGGTGAGAGTGAAGTGAATTTTGTCTTTAAAAATAAAAGCCTTTAGTGCTTAGGAGCATGGGCTCAAGAACCAAAGGGTTTGAATTCAGAATCTGTTCTGCCACTTAAAACTCTGTAACCTTGGACAGAACACTTAACCCCTCAATAAGCCTCAATCTCCTCATCTTTGTAATGAGAATTGCAGCATGCATGCTTGGGGACTGCTCTACAGATTAAATACAATATATGAAATGTTTGGAACAGCACCTAGTGTGTGTTGGTGAACACAACAAATATTGGCATCTGCTATTCTTCAAGCAAATAGAGGGCAGCAATTCAGGTAAAGCTAGAATGTAGAGGCATGAAGGTACGTTGTTATGGTTGGGGAAATGGCAAAAATATAATAGTTTATTGTCACTGGGGCATAAGGTACAATGTGGGAGTAACTGGACATGAGCCTGGACAGGTCAGCTGACTTAACATTTGTTATATGGTTTCAAACCTGTTTTATGAACAGATAAGTATTTCTTAACACTATAAGCCTGACTTAGAGCCTCATTACCTCATCTGGACTATTAAACTAGCCTCCTAAATGGCATCTCTCTATTCTCAAGCAAGCCCCAGAGTAATCTTCTGGGGCTACTCACTGTGTACTGACTACCTGTTCTGCAGGGTCCAATACAAATGCCACCTCCTCAATGAATTTAGTTCTGCAACGAGAAATTATTTACCCTTTCAAAATCTCTACATCTGTCATAATACTGTTTTTACATGTCTTAACTTCCCTACTAAGTTGTAAACTTCTTGAGGGAAGGTACTGCCTTATCTGTGTATTTGGTGCTTATGGGAAAACTATGCTATATATCATTTAATAAATGAATCAGCCTATTCAACCGAATAGACTGATACCCTACAATTGAAGTGATACAATTGAAGCTAACTTTTTATTTATTTATTTAGCTTAGACTTAATAAAAGAAATATAGTCATTGTCAAAGTTAATTCAAGTCTCATCTAAGTGACATAGTGCTGGACCGTGTTTTAAAAAATAACCTCTTTTGGGCTGAGCGCGGTAGCTCACGTCTGTAATCCCAACACTTTGGGAGGCTGAGGTGGGTGGATCACTTGAGGTCAGGAGTTCGAGACCAGCCTGGCCAACATGGAGAAACCCTGTCTCTACTAAAAATACAAAAATTAGCTGGACATGGTGGCAGGTGCTTGTAGTCCCAGCTACTCGGGAGGCTGAGTCAGGAGAATTGCTTGAGCCTGGGAGACGGAGGTTGCAGTGAGCCACTGCACTCCAGCCTGGGTGACAGAGCAATACTCTTTCTCAAAAAAACAAGAAAAAAACTACTTTCCTTAAAATGTTTTACAGTAGTTATTTCAATTAGAGAGCAGAAGGGAAAATATGTCTTAATTAGACCAAACTGAATTGAACATGACACTTTTTTTTTTTTTTTTTTTAAACATAAGCTGACAGTGGGGAAAACAGCACTATATACCTTTTGGACTTTCGTATTTCAACTATTCTTGATGTTGCCCCCTTTTTTAGGAAGAAGAAGAAGAAGAAGAAAACAGGGTATCTGAAGAAGCAGAAAGACAGTATCAACAGAATAAATTGCAGACTGATTCCATTGTTCAGACAGATCAACCAGAGACAGTGATATCCAGCTCATTTGTGAATGTCAATTTTGAAATGGAGGGAGACAGTGAAGTAATTATGGAAAGCAAGCAAAATCCAGTCTCTGTCCCACCATAAAATGAAATGACTATCAAGCTTTAAACTCTTAAGTTTTTTTTTTAATATAGAAACTTTCACATTCTTTATTCAGTGGGACTTAATACAATTATTTATATTTTAAATTATTAAAATACCTGGAAAGGGAAAATGTTTCTTCATTTTTAGAATCTATCTAGCAAAAGCCAGATCTGAAATTCAGATATTTGTACTGTTTTTACTGTGCATAGAATTAGTGCTTTGGTTTTAAAATGACCTTTTAAAAACATTAAGGACATCCTAGAGCCTTAATAGTTAAGAAGAGTTAAATTATCAAGCCTGTCTATTTGTGCGTTTGCTTTTTTTAAAAAAGGTAAGTTGCTGATTAAGTCTAATTGTAATTGATAATTCCATAGTCTTAGATTAAAATGAGGATATTTTCTTCTAGATTTTCTCATGTTATGCCATGCATTTATATATCTAACCATTAATTCACATTAAGGATGCTTCACCATATAATAAAAGGAGCAAGATGGAAGCACTTTGAATTTTCTTTCATTGAGAATAACTTTTATGTAAGATTCTGTATTTATAACACCAGATATTAAGATAGGCTTCCATTTTTTAATGCAAGCCACTTAATCTTGTATTCTTTTTCAGGACTCAAATAACTAGCTTTGAACATAAAATTAAAACACTACTTATGGAATACATTTATTAATGTTAAACCTAGTGAATATCCGTGTGGCATCCTGGTTATGTTATCCATTCAGCATTCATCCTATAGAAAAGTGGTTTGGAGGAGATTGGGGATAGTGGGACAGGTATAGATTTAATCCATCAGGAGCAATTAGATATTGTATAAGGTGCAATGATAGCCTAACGAAATTACCTGACATTCATCATTTAGAAGTAGCAAGAGTGAAGACTGGACAGTTTACCTGAATTTGTTTGGCCATTCCTCTATCTACTTGGTTATTTGTAAACCTTATAAAGGTATATATTGTGAAGCTAATTTTGAAAATATTCCTAAATATGGCTGGGTACGGTGCCTACGCCTGTAATCCCAGCACTTTGGGAGGCTGAGGCGGGCAGATTACTTGGGTCAGGAGTTTGAGACCAGCCTGGCCAATGTAGTGAAACCCCATCTCTACAAAAATACAAAAATTTAGCCAGGTGTGGTGGTGCGTGTCTGTAATCCCAGTTGCTCCGGAGGCTGAGGCAGGAGAATCACTTGAACCAGGGAGGTGGAGGTTGCAGTGAGCCGAGATTGCACCACTGCACTCCAGCCTGGGCGACAGAGTGAGACTCCATCCTAGCGGGGGAAGAAAAATACATATATATATATATACACACACACACACACACATTTCTAAATGTGTGTATAGAACCTTTTATCAGTATAACATTGATTTATAATTAAATGTGGGTGAGGAAGAATGTGTGGAGTATTTCAGAAATTTTGATTTTAAAACCCTTTTCAGAAACTTAAAGCTGTTAGAAATTGTTATATTAATAGCCTTCTAAACAGCATTAAGTTTTCAATCTTAATATATCTATATAAAATATAGTGTCAGAAAGTAACATCATCAATACAGTGGGTCTGTAATGGAAATCTGTGTCAATGAACATGAACTGAGTTCCTCAACTACAAGTTGAAGGATAATTAAACTTTTCATTAGGAGTGTTCAGCTACATGGATTCATGGAATGGTGGTTCATAGTAAGTGATGGTAATCTTTTTATTCATGGGTGTAAACCATTTATAACTTAGTGCTCAAAAGATTAATCTTTTGATTATATAATGTCCCATGAATTCCAGTTTACCAATAGTTCTAAAACATGCTAACCTAACCTTTTCCTTCTAATTTAACTTCATTCGAGATAGTACCTCTCACTCACAGATATTTATTTGGTTATCAAGTGAAGGTAGGTGTGTCTAAAAGTGATCTTTTGAATCCTGTCTCCCTAGGGGTAATAGTATCTAGAGTTTACCGAGAACATTTTATGTTTGTAATAAAAGGAAGTAGTGACTTATGGAGGTTTTGTTTCTTGAATTTTACTTTTGCTACTTGTCCAATAGTGGCTAGTTTATCAATACAGTTATTCACTGTGCCTTAAGTTTATACTGTTTATGCAAACTATAAAATTTCCCATAAATGTATTCAGTGGTTTGTCTTATTTTAAACCTCTTTCACTCACTTTTTCATACTTCCTTTTCAGTCCTTTTAAGAATTCCAGTTCCAGCTGGGTGCGGTGGTCCACGCCCATAGTCCCAGCACTTTGGGAGGCCGAGGTGGGCGGATCACCAGGTCAGGAGTCTGAGACCAACCTGGCCAACTTGGTGAAATCCCATCTCTACTAAAAATACAAAAATTAGCTGGGCATGGTGGGAGGTGCTTATAATCCTAGCTGCTCGGGAGGCTGAGGCAGGAGAATCACTTGAGCCTGGGAGGCAGAGGTTGCAGTAAACAGAGTTTGTGCCATTGTACTCCAGCCTGGGTGACAGAGTAAGACTCGTCTCCAAAAAAAAAAAAAATTCCAGTCCCTTCTGGATCATAGTTCGTATTTACCTTCTTCTAATCTTTCAGCATCTCATAAAAACTAAATGTAACATATAACTGAAGTCTTTACCCTGAATTAACATAAATGCTTTAACAAAAATCCTTAACAAAATGAAGTTTATTTTTTGGTTTGAGACAGGGTCTTACTCTGTTGCCCAGGCTGGAGTGCAGTGGTGCAATCATGACTCACTCCAGCCTCGACCTCCTGGGCTTCAGCAGTCCTTCCCTGTCAGCCTCCCAAGGATCAGGGATGACAGGCTCACACCACTATGCCCAGCTAATGTTTTTTATTTATTTTTTGTACAGACTTGGTTTTGCCATGTTGTCCAGGCTTGGAATTAAGTTTTATAAAATATAACTCTGGTACTGGTTAATAAAACTAGACTTTTTTTTTTTTTTTTTTTTGAGAGGGGGAGTCTCTCTGTCGCCCAGGCTGGGGTGCAGTAGCGCGATTTTGGCTCACTGCAAGTTCCGCCTCCTGGGTTCATGCCATTCTCCTGCCTCAGCCTCCCGAGCAGCTGGGACTACAGGCGCCCACCACCATGCCCAGCTAATTTTTTGTATTTTTAGTAGAGACAGGGTTTCACCGTGTTATCCAGGATAGTCTCGATCTCCTGACCTCATGATCCGCCCGCCTCGGCCTCCCAAAGTGTTGGGATTACAGGCATGAGCCACCGTGCCCGGCCGACAAATTTTTTATACCAATGATTTTCATGAAAGTAAAACACTAGTTTGAATACATTTTATTAAAACATCCAATTAAAAGAAAGAACAAGGCTGGGCATGGCTCACATATCACAGTGGCTATAATCTCAGCACTGTGGGAGGCTGAGGCGGGTGGATCACCTGAGGTCAGGAGTTCGAGACTAGCCTGGCCAACATGGTGAGACCCCATCTCTACTAAAAATACAAAAATTAGCCAGGCATGGTGGTGCACACCTGAAGTCCCAGCTACTCAGGAGACTGAGTCAGGAGAATTGCCTGAAGCTGGGAGGTGGAGGCTGCAGTGAGCAGAGATCATGCCACTGCACTCCAGCCTGGACGACAGAGGGAAACTGTCTCAAGAAAAAAAAAAAAAAAAAAAAACGAAAAACAAAAAGGCTGGGTGGCCATGGCTCACATCTGTAATCCCAGCACTTTGGGAGGCTGAGGCCAAGGCAGGCAGATCAGTTCAGGTCGGGAGTTCGAGACCAGCCTGGCCAACATGGTGAAACCCTGGCTCTGCTAAAATACAAAAATTAGCCAGGTGTGTTGGCAGGCGCCTATAATCCCAGCTACTCAGGAGGCTGAGGCAGGAGAATCACTTGAACCCCCTAAAAAAAAAAAAAATCCTAATCCTAACCCAGAAATAAAATGACTCTACTCTAATGAATGGGAAAGTTTGTAATCTTTGAGATTTTATATATATATACATATATAAAATCTATGTGTGTGTATATATATATGCACTGTCAGTCAAATATTCACATTCTAAATGACTGTCAGAAATATTCCATGGAAACTTCATCTCTTATACATGTTTAAACTGAACATCATCTATCTACAGCAAATCACACTTCCCATCTTTGAACTAAAAGGAACCAGAACTTACCCTACCTCCTAACAAGCAATATTTGGTCCTATTGCTTCTAAACTATTGCAACCAGAATTCCAGTAACCAAAACATTTGCTGTGTTCTCTAGGCATATCAAGTGTTTTATTTAGACCATTCTGAGGATTTTGCTTTAAAGGCTTTACATGCAGCATTCAAATATCTCTTAATATAAGACAGTCTAGTCTTTCAGAGATCATGTATCATCAAGGTCTGTAGAGTTTTCACTGTCATTTGCAACAAGAGCTTCTCTGTTCTCATAAGTCCAGAAGCCATTCAAATCGATTAGAATGGTGGTTACTGTGTCTCCTTGATTACTGTTGATTAAATCCTGAAGAGAGATTTTCAAAGGATCCTTTGGTTTTACCATGTCAAAGATTTCATCCTGCAAGAGAAAAAAAAATACAATGAAATTTGATCCACTTAATTTCTATCACACATCGTGATCCAAAATTCAGGGCTGTCTGCATCCACTGAAGTATGGAGGAATAAAATTGAGGGCTGCCACTTGGGCTTATGTTAATTTTTTGTTCTACTTTTTTTCTTTTCCATTTAACAGGCAGTTTCCTTTACCTACAATCACAAAATTTTATTGGATAACTCTTTAGCTATGTGATAGCTGTCCTTCATTTTGTAGATGAAGAAACCAAGGCTCAGCATCTAATCCAGCTACATAGGTAATTAGCGGCAGAACTATTTAATGCAGTGTTCAGGGACTGCATGTTAACCAATTTCTTACATATTTTTCTATTGCCTTCTAATTGGTGGTGAAACAAGGTTTTGTCTGTAGTTTTTGTTGTTTTGTTTTGTTTTTGAGATGGAGTCTCGCTCTGTCATCCAGGCTGGAGTGCAGTAGAGCAATCTTGGCTTACTTCAACCTCCGCCTCTGGGGTTCAAGCAATTCTTCTGCCTCAGCCTCCCGAGTAGCTGGGACTAGAGGTGCACACCACCACACCCAGCTAATTTTTGTATTTTTAGTAGAGATGGGGTTTCACCATATTGGCCAGTCTCGTCTCAAGCTCCTGACCTTAAGTAATCTGCCCGCCTTGGCCTCCCAAAGTGCCGGAATTATACGTGTGAGCCACCGTACCCAGCCTTGTTTTTTGTGAGCCACCGTACCCAGCCTTGTTTTTTTTTTTGAGACAGAGTTTCACTCTTGTTGCCCAGGCTGGAGTGCAATGGCGTGATCTCGGCTTACCGCAGCCTCTGCCTCCTGGGTTCAAGCGATTCTCCTGCCTCAGCCTCCCAAGTAGCTGGGATTACAGGCATATACCACCACATCCGGCCAATTTTTGTATTTTTAGTAGAGACGGGGTTTCTCCATACTGGTCAGGCTGGTCTCAAACTCCTGACCTCAGGTGATCCACCTGCTTTGGCCTTCCAAAGTGCTGGGATTACAGACGTAAGCCACCGTGCCCAGTCCCTTCTTTTTTTGTGTGAGATGGAGTGTCCCTCTGTCACCCAGGCTGGAGTGCAGTAGTGTGATCTTGGCTCGCTGCAACCTTTGCCTCCCAGGTTCAAGCCATTCTCCTGCCTCAGCCTCCTGAGTAGCTGGGATTACAGCTGCGTACCACCACACTCGGCTAACAAGGGTTTGGTTTAATTTTTTTTGCTAACGGTTCAACTCAATTAAACATCTAAATGTTTCAGAGATAGTGACAAAGCTTCATTTCCAATATTGATGTCAACATTTTATTAGGATAGGAGAGGAGTAGTTCTTTCTGGATATGCATTAGATATCCAAAAAGAAGCTAAATGCTGCTAAAACTTACTGGAACATATAGAAGACCTCCTTCTATATTATGAAGTGTACAACAGATATTTACAGGGAATTAGTACATGTTTTCTAATCTTTTTGTAGTAAAATTACTACAAAATTTGTAGTAAAGTAAAATTTGTAGTAAAATTACTCAGGTGAACAGGCTCTTTGAGGTAGCATACTAAAAAAAAGTGCCTGAACCTAAACAGTTTCCAAGGTAAAAATTCAGTTTACAGTTGAATAGACTGCCGTAGGATGTAGACTGTACTGACTGTCTTAATTTTCTTTTTTTTTTTTCTTTTGAGTCGGAGTTTTACTCTTGTTGCCCAGGCTGGAATGCAGTGGCGCGATCTCAGCTCACTCCAACCTCCACCTCCCGGGCTCAAACGATTCTCCTGCCTCAGCCTTCCGAGTAGCCAGGATTACATGCATGCACCACCACACCCAGCTAATTTTTGTATTTTTAGTAGAGACGGGATTTCATCATGTTGACCAGGCTGGTCTTGAACTCCTGACCTCGGGTGATCCGCCCACCTTGACCTCCCAAAGTGCTGGGATTACAAGCGTGAGCCACTGCGCCCGGCCCCCTGACTGTCTTAATTTTCAATTAAAATGAATGAATGCCTCCAATGAGAACATAGTGATGACAATACTAAAATTATAAACTATATAAATAGTCCAAATGTGGTCTCAGTTCGTAATGATTTAAATATCAGTTCAGAACAAAAAGCAAATACTTGATTCAAATAGTACTTCATTACTTGCTTTCATATAAAATTTCATGTAATACAAATGACTATCTCACAATTATCTGGTAATATGTAAATTAAAGGAAAAGATAACCTTGACATCTTGAAATGAAACAGGATCTTGTCCGTGGATTTTCATTAGTTCCTGTATGGCCTGTATTTGATAGAAATAAATCTGTAAGTAAAAAATGAAATACACAACATCCCCTCTCTTGCCCCACAACCCCTTTCTACTTATACTTCCTTTCCTATCAGACCACAAACCTCATCATTCTCTCTCGACAATCTTTTTAGCTTTCTTGACCTTATTCCATATCAATGAGCAAAACCTAAATTCTCAGTGTATTGACCTTTTTAGACCTGTATCTTAACTACTGAGAACTTCAGGAAAAAAAATAAGAAGACTACAGATTGCTGCGTCTACATAGGAATGTTCTCCAACCTCAAATGGGCCCTCAACATGGCATCACAATTACTCTGTTTGATCTGCTCCTCTCATTTTCCACGAATGTTATTCCTGCCTTCACTATTAAGACCCCCAATCTACTGTCTCCCTTCCTACCCTACACTTTGCTTTCTACATAATACAAGAAATGGAGGTAGACCTCCCAAAACTCTTCCTTTTTATAAACTTTAACAAAAAAATGAAGAAACTGCTGTCATCCAGTGGGACTACAAAATACTTCAGGTGAGCATTATTCAGTGGAAATGTGAAGTTTAAAATTCTTGGTGAATAGTCAACTAACTTTGTTCCTATTGCCTACTCTGTATGTTACCACTGATAATCAGAGTATCCATAAAGGAATCTCTTTGAAGTAGATAAGCATCTGAGTACATGCTATGTTAATATAGTAATAGGCTTGGATGGTATGATCTAGAGTGAATCATCCAGGCCCAGCTTTATCACTAGAATACTGATGTCCAAACGCTCTATGAATAGCCCAGGATTATAGGGCTCAGCACTGGCCCCCCCCCCCTTTTTTTTTTTGAGACGGAGTCTCGTTCTGTTGCCCAGGCTGGAGTGCAGTGGCCGGATCTCAGCTCACTGCAAGCTCCGCCTCCCAGGTTTACGCCATTCTCCTGCCTCAGCCTCCCGAGTAGCTGGGATTACAGGCACCCACTACCTCGCCCGGCTAGTTTTTTGTATTTTTTAGTAGAGACGGGGTTTCACCATGTTAGTGAGGATGGTCTTGATCTCCTGACCTCGTGATCCACCCACCTTTGCCTCCCAAAGTGCTGGGATTACAGGCATGAGCCACTGCACCTGGCCGATTTTTAAGTTTAATAAAAGCATTTATGTAACAGATTTCAGAAGGAAATCAAGTCTGTTTTTAGTTTTTTTATTTCTTTCCTATTTAAAAAAATATAAATGAGTTAAAGCTGATTTGACTAGATGTAAAATAAAATTATGTATATGTCAGGGGCTGTACTACCATTGGAAATACAAATATGTGACAAATTCTGTACTTGTGATGAAAAACTTGTAAGATGCTAAGCAATTCAGAAAAGGTAGCTCCTTTCCACAGAAATTTTTATAGACTTTGGTAGTTGTATTTTTTTTTTTTTTTTTGAGACAGTCTTGCTCTGCTGCCCAAGCTAGAATGCAGTGGCGTGATTTTGGCTCACTGCAACCTTCGCCTCCTGGGTTCAAGTGATTCTCCTGCCTCAGCCTCCCAAGTAGCTGGGATTACAGGCAAGTGGACCCAGTTATTGGGGAGGCTGAGTGGGAAGCCTGCCTGACTGAGCCCAGGAGTTGGAGGTTGCAATGAGCTATGATCGTGCCACTGTACTCCAGCCTGGGTGACAGAGCCAGACCTTTTCTCAAAAAAAAGAAAAAAAATAAATAAAAATCACGAGTTAGGTAAAATGGTTACTAAATATTTAATTTACACAAAATGATACATCTTTAATTTGCTTTTTCTAATTTCCTAAAATAGATGCTGATTTTAGATCTTTAACGTTTTCCAATATATACATTCAATACTATAAATTTCCCTCTAGCCACTGCTTTTGCTGCATCTCACAATTTTTTTTTTTTTTTTGAGACAGACCTGGCCACAACCAAATGATACCTTAAGGAACAATGACTCACTTACGCAAATGAGACTTACCCTAAAGAAATAATTAAGTGAAAAGACATTCAGATATCCTTTGTTCTCAATATCAAGCAGTTTGAAAATATACTGTAGAGCTGCGGGTTCCTTTCTGTTTTCTAATGCAAGGACAAAGTCCAAGTAGGTCTTATAGTCCTGCAGAACAGAAAATAATGTTCATTAGAGGCCTTAGTTGAAATTAACTTTCAAGTGCATATTAAGATTTGAAGCTATTTTGCAATCAAAGGTGGCAAATTTAATTTTTTCCCTAAGTTATAAAATGAGAAATCCATTTATATACTTAATATTGGTTTCTAGGAATTTTTTTTCTTTTTCTTGAGACGGAGTTTCACTCTTGTGAAAGGCTGGAGTGCAATGGCACGATCTTGGCTCACCACAACCTCCACCTCCCGGGTTCAGGCAATTCTTCTGCCTCCTGAGTAGCTGGGATTATAGGCATGTGCCACCATGCTGGGCTAATTTTGTATTTTCAGTGGAGACAGGGTTTCTCCATGTTGGTCAGACTGGTCTCGAACTCCCGACCTCAGGTGATCCGCCCACCTCAGCCTCCCAAAGTGCTGGGATTATAGGCATGAGCCACCATGTCCAGCCACAGGAATTCTATATATAATCTGCACAGGACAGTTTTGAGGACATAGTTTTTTTTTTTTTTTTTTTTTGAGAGATGGAGTCTCGTTCTGTCGTCCAGGCTGGAGTGCAGTGGCACAATCTTAGCCCACTGAAACCTCTGCCTCCCAAGTAGCTGGGAATACAGGTGCACACCACCATGCCCAGCTAATTTTTATATTTTTAGTAGAGACAGGATTTTGCCATGTTACCCAAGCTGGTCTCAAACTCCTGACCTTAAGTGACCCGCCTGCCCCGGCTTCCCAAAGTGCTGGGATTACAGGCATGCACCACTGTGCCCGGCCCTAGTTCATTTTTTTATGAGAGATTTGCTGTGTTAAACTATAGTTTTCTTTCATTATTCATAAAACAAGAACATTATTCTTGTTTTTGAGACAGGGTCTCACTTTATCAACCAGGCTGAAATGAAGTGGTCACTACAACCTTGATCTCCCAGGCTCAAGCAATCTTCCCACTACAGCCTCACAGGTAGCTGAGACTACAGGTGCACGTCAGCAAACTTGGCTAATTTTTAAAAATTCTTTGTAGAGATGGGGTGTTCCCGTATTACCTATGCTAGTCTCAAGCTCCTGGGCTCAACCTATCATCTGGCCTTGGCCTTCCGAAGTGCTGGGATTAGAGGGATAAACTACTGCATCCTGCTTCAAACTTTTGAAACAGATAATACAGTGACTAAGTTATAAACTTGTATCTTCATTTCAGTGCAGTTATTTTGAAAAACTTATCATCTGGAATGAACAGAACAGCATACTTTTTTTTTTTTTTTTTGAGACAGTTTCGCTCTTGTTGCCCAGGCTGGAGGGCAATGGTGTGATCTCGGCTCACCAGAACCTCCACCTCCCAGGTTCAAGCCATTCTCCTGCCTCAGCCTCCTGCGTATCTGGGATTACAGGCATGCACCACCACGCCTGGCTAATTTTATATTTTTAGTAGAGAAGGGGTTTTTCCATGTTGGTCAGGCTGGTCTCAAAACTCCCAACCTCAGGTGATCCACCCACCTTGGCCTCCCAAAATGCTGGGATTACAGGCATGAGCCACCATGCCCAGCCTCAGAACAGTATACTTAAACTGCTATTTTAAAATATTGTTTAAAATTTTTAATTCGGATTTCCAGTAAGAAGCTGTCTTGAGATTGCCAGACATTTTACAGTGAGCTTACACTGTTCTCATCCATAAAAAGGCAAAATGTAAAGGCCAGAAAGACATAAAGAGAACAGAAAGCCTTCCCTATAAAAACAGGATACTCATAGATTTTTTTTTAATGGTAAAAAGTAGTAAAGTAATTGGGAGATTCTCACTTAGATAAAAATTTTATATTCTTAGAAAAGTTCCTTTCTGCATAAATTGCAGTGAAGAGTTAAAGAATGCAGATTGTGATCTGACTTCATCCACAGTTGTGGCCTCTGATTTTCTTTATTCACCAGGAATCATTATATTAATACTACAAGTTCCTCACTGTCTACTGTTTATAGCTGTGGGAGCTACAAAATAAACTTTCTGTGCCTTTTCCCCTCTTTTCTTTTGTTGTTAATAATGGTGTTATTTAGCAAACTGCTATTGAAGCTAAATGATAAAATGTAAGACCCCCATTCTCATGACAATATGACTATTTTTTAAGCATAACTGCTTTGGGAAATTTATCACATTCTTTTTTTTTTTTTTTGGAGACGAGTCTAGCTCTGTCACTCAGGCTGGAGTACAATGGCACCATCTTGGCTCACTGCAAGCTACACCTCCTGGGTTGACACCATTCTCCTGCCTCAGCCTCCTGAGTACCTGGGACTACAGGCGCCTGCCACCACGGCCGGCTAATTTTTTGTATATTTAGTAGAGACGGGTTTCACTATGTTAGCCAGGATGGTCTCCATTTCCTGACCTCGTGATCTGCCCGCCTCGGCCTCCCAAAGTGCTGGGATTACAGGCATGAGCCACCACGCCCAGCAGGACATTTATCAGAGTCTTAACCCATGTTTTTAGCAGCAAAAATGGTGATTTTAAAATGCTGTTTACAATTTTCCTTCTCAAGTATTTTGCATTGTCATAATAAAAAGACAAGTCCATGTTATCTTCAGCTGCTCATATAGCCACTTCTAAAGACTAATACACCTGATTCTCAGAATTAAATCATGGCATATGTGTTACTACATCTGACCTGGTAATTTAATGACAGAACTATCTAAATGAAAATAGCCATAATAATTTACTAATGTTTCAGCTTTTTTTTTAAGAGACATGGTCTCACTCTATTGGCCAGACTGGAGTGCAGTGGCCTCATCATAGCTCACTGCAGCCTCAAACTCCTCAGGTCAAGCAATCCTCTTGCCTCAGCCTCCCGAGTAGCTATACTACAGGCATATTCCACCCATGCCCATGTAATTTTTTTATTTTTTGTAGAGACAGTCTCGCTATATCGCTCAGGCTAGTCTTGAATTATTGGCCTTAAGTGGTTCTCTGGCCTTGGCCTCCCAAAGAGCTGGGATTGTAGTCATAAGCTACCAAGCCTGGCCTCAGCTTTTTTTTTTTTTTTTTTTTTAACTAGAATGCACTACTGTACAATAGGTGTACTGACAATGAAATCAACAAAATAAGCTATTTGCCCTGAGGCCATAATGTAGATGTTTTTAAGTGAATTTACATTAAGACCAAAGGCTCTGAATCTCAAGTAATTTGATCAGTTTACACATTTTAAAGACACCGTTACACATTAATATAAATAATGCTGGGCCGAGTGTGGTAGCTCATGCCTGTAATCCCAGCACTTTGGGAGGCGGATCACCTGAGGTCGGGAGTTCAAGACCAGCCTGGCCAACCTGGTGAAACCCCATCTCTACTAAGAATACAAAAATTAGCTGGACGCGGTGGCATGTGCCCATAATCCCATCTACTCTGGAGGCTGAGGCAGGAGAATCACTTGAACCCAGGAAGCAGAGGTTGCAGTCAGCCGAGATCACACCACTGCACTCTAGCCTGGGCGACAGAGCAAGACTCTGTCTCAAAAAAAAAAGAAAAGAAAAGAAAAAGGGCTTTATTACATCAAGAAAAGGGTTTCTGGAAACTCTGGGAGCCTAAACTTTTTAAACTTAGTAGCAGATTTAAACCACTACCATTTCTCCATCATAAGTGAGACACTCCTGGAAAACACGGTCTAAGAAGACATTGGTCATGGTAGCTGTTCCATAGCGTGAGAGTTCTTCTTTACTGAGCATGCCATTGTGATCTTTATCAAGATTCAAGTACTGGCCTTGGAAAGAAAAATAATAAAGACACTTATGACCACAATACAATTTTAATCAGAAGAATAGACTAACAAAAAGTTCTTTTTCTTGGTTAATATTTTGATTTTCAAACTATTCATGTTACAGTTAGGGTAGGGGCCTATGTATAATACTATCAGCTACCTTTGCAATCTTGATCAGAACAATCCTTGGGCTAGAAACAGCCAAAGAAAACCCATCATGAATGCCATAGTCTAGGATGTTTCACTTACATCGCTGTTTTCAGTTTGCAGTCTTTTTAAACATTCCTAGGTTTCTAAATTAAATGGAGGTAAGAGGCGAACAAAAAGCACTGAAATGCCAGCACTTGAAAGTAGAGATAAGAATGCCAAAAGGGGCACTTTGGCAGGCCAAGGTGGGTGGATCAGAGGTCAGGAGTTCCAGAGCAGCCTGGCCAACAGTGAAACACCATCTCTACTTAAAAAAAAAAAAAAGCCGGGTGTGGTGGCGGAAGCCTGTAATCCCAGCTACTTGGGAGGCTGAAGCAAGGAGAATTGCTTGAACCTGGGAGGTGGAGGTTGCAGTGAGCCAAGATCATGCCACTGGACTCCAGCCTGGGTAACAGTGTGAGACTCCATCTCCAAAAACAAAACAAAACAAAACAAAACAAAAAGCCAAAGGAGTCAAAAGATCACCCAACAAGATAATGTAGAATAGCTCCATCAGTAGATCCTGGGAACAGCATTTTATCAACAAAGCATGACAACAGCTAATGTTCATAATGGTGCTCCTGAGTCAACAAGGATCAAATTACATTCTATTATATTGAAAAGAAACTGTATAACTTAAAAAGGGTTCTGCTGGATGCAGTGGCTCATGCCTATAATCCCAACACTTTGGGAGGCCAGGACAGGTAGATTGCTTGAGCCCAGGAGTTTGAAACCAGCCTGGGCAACACAGTGAGATCCCATCTCTAAAAAAAATTTAAAAAATTAGCCAGGCGTGGCGCCTGTAGTCCCAGTACTGGGGTCGGTGGGGTGGGGTGGGGGCACTGAGGTTGGAGGATTGAGCCCAGGACTTCAAGGCTGCACTGAGCCATGATCATGCCACTGCACTCCAGCCAGGGTGAGAGAGTGAGACCCTTTCTTCAAAAAGGTTGGGGAGAGTCCAAAAAGTTAAAACATTGGTATTTAAACAAGTAAATTTTGGTAATGTACAATACTAGAGCTTAAGGTAATTAAATGCTTTGATCTTAAGCTATATCAGTGTATGTATAAAACTGTCCTCTGAACACCAATTACTTGAAGAAGGGATAATTCAAATTTTAGCATTATGATAGGAACATACCATAAACTCTTAGGGCAGAAGGAGCAGAAAACCAGTTTGTTTCTTGACTCTCCTTGGACAGTTCCTCATCCCTTAGCTAATGGAACACAAAGACATAATTAGAAGATAGCAACTGTCAAGTGATACAATTAAGTAGTTTAAAAACATTTACCTCCAATAAATCATCTAGGAAGCTGCATGCTAAAATATCTTGAATTTTTATCTTTCCTTTAAGAACATAAAGAAACACAATTAATTTCATTTTAAGAAAAGAGCAACTCAATTAAAAAAATTTTTTTCTTCACAAAAGCAATCACACAATTGATATTTTAAAGCTTCTAGCTCTTATGCTCCAAAGTCCTTATTACATATTGTTACAAAGAGAGAACTCTCCACCGGGCGCAGGAGCTCACATCTGTAATTCCAGTACTTTGGGAAGCTGAGGCGGGTGGATCACCTGAGGTCAGGAGTTCGAGACCAGCCTGGCCAATATGGTGAAAGCCCATCTCTACTAAAAACACAAAAAATTAGCTGGGTGTAGTGGTGGGTGCCTGTAATCCCAGCTACTCAGGAGGCTGGGGCAGGAGAGTCGGTTGAACCCGGGAGGCAGAGGTTGCAGTGAGCTGAGATCAAGCCATTGTACTCCAGCCTGGGGAACAAGAGCAAAACTTCATCCCTACCCCGCAAAAAAAAAAAAATTCTACAGGCAACATTTAATAACATATCTACTTGTATACCTCAACTATATAAATCTAAGTGCCAAATTCTAAAATTATAGTGATGTCAGATTTTCAAAAAAGTTTGTGATTATAGATATAGTACTGCTAATACACGAACAGGGACACTGTCTCCATTTATTTTTGGTAGGTTCTGGACTAGAAAGCAATACACAGGTGTGGTTTAAGAGCAGACAGATGAGAGTTTGTTTTCTTCTTCTTCTTTTTTTTTTTTAGACAGTTTTGCTCTTGTTGCCCAGGCTAGAGTGCAGTGGTGTGATCTCTGCTCACTGCAACCTCTGCTTCCCGGGTTCAAGTGATTCTCCTGCCTCAGCCTCCTGAGTAGCTGGGACTACAGGCACCTGCCACCACACTCAGCTAATTTTTTGTATTTTTAGTAGAAACGGGGTTTCACTGTGTTGGCCAGGCTGGTCTCAAACTCCTGACCTCAGGTGATTCACCCATCTCAGCCTCCCAAAGTGCTGGGATAACAGGCCTGAGCCACTGCACCCAGCTACTGCTGCTTTTTTGTACAGAAGAGGTCTTGCTATCTTGCCAGGGCTGGTCTTGAACTCCTAGGCACAAGTGATTTCTCACATCAGCCTCCCAAAGCACTCGGGTTACAGGTGTGAGGCACTTCACCCAGCCCAGATGGGAGTTTAAATGCCACTTTTAAATATGTAACCTAGCTAAATCTCAGTTGCCTTACACATAAAATGTGGACAATAATGCACCTTCCTTATGGGGTTATGAGATGACAATGAATGAATCCATGTAAAATGCTTAGCATACTACATAACAGTCAAAACATCTGATATTATTTTGTAAAATTTGAAAGAAAGTGTGTATGTGTGTACTTAGAGTAGAGGAGTTCAAAAAACACTGTCAGCTACCATATGCTGTGATTGGATTCATAACTGGATTTTTTTTTTTTGGACACAAGGTCTGGCTATGTTGCCCAGACTAGAGTGCAGTGGCACGATCTTGGCTCACTGCAACCTCTGCCTCCTGGATTCAAGTGATCCACCTCAGCAGCTTCCCAAGTAGCTGGGACTACAGGCGCGTGTGCGCCACTATACCTGGCTAATCTTTATAATTTTTTTTCTTTTTTTTTTTTTGAGATGGAGTTTCACTCTTGTTGCCCAGGCTGGAGTGCAACAGCATGATCTCAGCTCACCACAACCTCTGCCTCCCGGGTTCAAGTGATTCTCCTGCCTCAGCCTCTCAAGTAGCTGGGATTACAGGCGTGAGCCACTGTGCCCGGCCAATTTTTGTATTTTTTTTTTTTTTTTTTTTTTTTTTTTGTAGAGACAAAGTTTCACCATGTTGCCCAGGCTGATCTTGAACTCCTGAGCTCAAGTGGTCCACCCAACTCAGCCTCCCAGAGTGCTGAGATTACAGATGTGAACCACTGTGCTGGGCCCATAGTTAGATTTTCAAGGACAGAAGGATAATCAAGCACTTTGATTTGGACTTCTCTGTCCTTTCCTCTGCTCCAGTTACATGTATTTAAGTCTGGGCGGGCTTGAACAGTTAATAAAACATACTGTTAATGAGGCCATATTTACCAATCCGATCCCCATAGAAAATGAGAAAAATATGCATCACTGGCTAAATGGCTCTCATATTTCCAAATACATGTTTTTCATCAAAAAGAGAACAATTCTGCAGTATATCACATAGCAGAGACAGCAAATCATATCTGAGTTACTGGCTTCCTAGAACGGGAAGGACGCATTTATGACTTATTACCCAGTTCATACTTCTTCACTGTTAGGTGACATCCCCCCATCTGTCACACAGCAGATTATAGTCAGTGCAAGTAAATCATAAAAGATCTTCAGATAAACATAACCAAAGCATTGCTACTGTTTTTTGTACCTTTTTATCTCCTTGAAATTCACCAAATTTTTAATGGCAGTGACAGGAAAATAAATGACATTTTAAGAGTTTTCTGTAGTTATTGAGATTTAGATATAATAATATCCTCATGTACGTTAGATAAGATTTTCTTTTACCTGTTCTTAAAGGATCTAAAAAGAAGAAGAACTTCCTAACTGCTGTACAAACATAAAAGGAGTAGAAAGATTTTTCCAGACCATCTAATTGTGGCAAAGTAGGGATAAGTTCCAATATGTAGTTTTCTAAATCCTGAAAATAAAACAAAATAAAGTGTTAAATGTCCAATCTTGATTCTTCATTACATACTAGAATATAATTTCATTACTAAAAATTATTCAGCATTAACACTATATTGATAAAGAAATAAATTCATGACTGTTTTAGTGGTAAAACTATTTTACATTAAATTTTGTTTCTCCCAATTTAAGTTTTAACATTTTTGAAAAGTAGTAAATTCTACATAGTTCCAAATTGAAAGGGAACAAAGATATTGATTAAAAAGCCTCTCACCTATTTCTTCTCCCCAGAGGTAACCTGTATTATCAACTTCTGATGTAATTTCCCAAAGGTAACAGATACAAATATGAACCAATACATATATATTTCTTTCCCTCTTTTTTTTTTTTTGAGATGTAGTCTTGCTCTGTCGCCAGCCTGGAGTGCAGTGGTGCGATCTTGGCTTACTGCAACCTCTGCCTCCCAGGTTCAAGCGATTCTCCTTGCCTCCTCCTGAGTAGCTGGGACTACAGGCATGCACCACCATGCGCAGCCAATTTCTGTATTTTTAGTAGAGGCAGGGTTTCACAGTGTTGGCCAGGATGGTCTTGATCTCTTGACCTCGAGATCCAGCCACCTCCATCTCCCAAAGTGCTGTGACTACAGGCATAAGGCACCGCACCCGGCCTTTCCCTCTTTTTACACACAGGATGTATCAACATACCGTGAAGAGTGCTTTTGTCATTCAGTAATATATTTTATAGTCATTCCATCTTGACTCTCAAATAGCTATATATTATATCATTGTATGGATGTGCCATATTTAACTAGGCCTCTATTGGGACATTTAGTTTTTTCCTAATATTTTGCTACATGAAAAGTAATACCATAAGGGCTAAGCTAATTATTCATTCATAGATATTGTGGAAGAATATAAAATACAATTTCTGTAAGTGGACCTGCTGGGTTGTGGCATATGCACATGTAGAAATTTGATAAGACACTGGGAAACTTCCCATCTCCCCATAAACGCCATGTGAATTTTATACTCCCACCAGCAACGTGAAGGCTATTTCTACAGTTCTGAATTCTGCACACAGGTGTCCCGGGGCACCACAGTTAATGTACAGGGGTGCATCAGGATATTTTAAAATTTTGAGCGAAACAGCAACATTTGTCAGACACTGCGGACAGATATTGAAATAAGCTAGAAGCATGTGCTCAAGGTAGTTCACATTTTCAAAACTGAATCTCCATTCCTTTTTTTTGAGGCAGGGTCTCACTCTGTCACACAGGCTGCTGGAGTACAGTAGCATGATCTTGGCTGACTGAAACCTCTACCTCCCAGGCTCAAGTGATCCTCCCACCTCAGCCTCCTGAATAGCTGGGACCGCAGAGGCCTACATGCGGCCCCTGCCTACTTGTCCAACTTCATTTCCGTTATTGTAATCCTTGTTCTAGCCACACTGGCTTCCTTATGTTCCTAGAACAGGTCCAGGCTTAATTTTGCCTTGGAGACACTGTATTTGCCGTTTCCTCTATACTATGTCTTCATAAGGCTGGCTTCTTTCTCATACTTCATGGCTAAAACTTAATCCCTATCTCAAAAAGATGCTCCTTCCAGCCTACCTGAAATTGTCCACCAATCCCAGTCATCTTCCTGCCTAGTTTACTGTTTTATTTTTCTTTTCCTTTCTTTTTCTGAGACAGAGTCTTGCTCTGTTGTCCAGGCTGGAGAGAAGTGGCGCAATCTTGGCTCACTGCAAGCTCCACCTCCTGGGTTCACATTTCTCCTGCCTCAGCCTACTGAGTAGCTGGGACTACAGGCGCCCACCACCACGCCCGGCTTATTTTTGTATTTTTAGTAGAGTCGGGGTTTCACCGTGTTAGCCAGGATGATCTCGATCTCCTGACCTCATGATCTACCTGCCTCGGCCTCCCAAAGTGCTGGGATTACAGGTGTGAGCCACCGCGCCCGGCCTACTGTTTCATTTTCTACATATAACTTGTTGCTATTTGATTTTATCTGCTTATAATTTAGTGTCTGTCTTCCCACTCTGCTAGAAAAAATAGGTCTAAGAGGGAACAAAAATTGTACTGTGTCCCTGGAAAGATTTTAAAGTATAACATTTAGTATGAGCTAACAGATTCCATCTACAGAAATTTGGGCCAAAAAAAAAAGAACAAAAAAAAGTACAAAAAAAAAGAACAAAAAAAATCTGGGCAAAACAGATTATAACAAAGTAAAAATGTGAGCCCTACAAGTTTAGAATAATACCTGCCCCCAAATAAATGTTTACTAACTGCTTAATAAGATTTAATAAGTGAATAACACTTTGTATACTCTACTCAGGTTATAAATGTTGGTCTGGAAGCCACTGTCTTTCAAATTAGTAAGACACAAAGCCTGGGTTTCAAAAGGCAATGGGCCAAGAATGGAAGAAATACTTTGAGGGAAGTGTTTTCTTTCATTGAGAGAAGGGAAAAATTATTCCTTTTTACAACTACTACGGAAGTACACTGTTTCTTTTCTCTCCCTTTTGCCCATCTCTCTTTCAATCTTTGTTTCCATACATGGAAAGAGGCAAGACAAGCAATAACAGGGGACCGTTTTTATATATCAATATTGCTGTTTCTATAAATCAAGTGAACTGCTAACAAGAATTCTCAGAGCTAGGGAAGTACTGCAGTTTGGGACCCGACCTCTAAACAAGTACCAACAGGTGGCTAATTATGTCTTCCTTGCTAGAAAGAGATGGCCAGAAGCAAGAGCCTTTTATTGTCAAGTTGGTCTGAACCTTAAAGAGAATTGTAGTATACCCCTGGAAAGGTTTTACAGTATAACTATTCAGAATGAGCTAACAGATTCTATCTACACAAATCTAGACAAAACAGAATGCAACAAATTATAGCAGGAACCATACAAACTGTAACAAGAAATTTATATTTAACGCATATCTGAATAATTATTTGATTAACTTGGTTTATATTCATGCCCAACTCCCTTCCCCTCTCCCCTACAACCTTAAAAAAAACACTGTATATTTGGGAAAAAAGCCTGAGGTGAAAAATAAGTCCATATAATTTAGATACCCGTATTTAGAAGCATAGCCATTTGGGCCATGAAGTTATAATTCTCTGTTGATAACCTGGCCTAATTATAGCAGTGCCTAATAGGAAACAAGCAGCCTCTTGGTAACTGACCTAACAACCTTAAACCCAGAGGTGGGAATACAGTCACATTCATTTTCTCTCTCATATTTTCTTTTTTCTTTTTCTTTTGAGACATAGTCTTGCTCTGTTGCCCAGGCTGGAGTGCAGTGGCATGATCTCAGCTTACTGCAACTGCCTCCTGGGTTCAAGTGATTCTCTTGCCTGAGCCACTCTAGTAGCTGGGATTACAGGCATCTGCTACCATGCTCAGCTAATGTTTTTGTATTTTTAATGATGGGGTTTCACCATGTTGGCCAGGCTGGTCTCCAAGTCCTGACATCAAGTGATCCACTCACCTTGGCCTCCCAAAGTGCTGGGATTACAGGTGTGAGCTACCGTGTCTGGCTTCTCTTATATTTTCTTAAAAAAAAAAAAAAAGGTGTGGGGGAATTCTTGGCCCTTTAAAACATAGTGACACACTGATATCATTCATGAATAATCAAGTTTTTCAGTGATTTTTAAATGTTAAAATGCTACATTATTTTTATTTTCCCCTTTAAAAGGCTTTTTTATTTTTTTGAGATGGAATCTGCTTTTGTCGTCCAGGCTCAAGTGCAACAGCCCGATCTAGGCTCACTGCAACCTCCGCCTCCTGTGTTCAAGCGATTCTCTTGCCTCAGCCTCCCGAGTAGCTGAGATTACAGGCGGCCACCACCATGCCTGGCTGATTTTTGTGTTTTTAGTAGAGACGGAGTTTCTCCATGTTGGTCCGGTTGGTCTCTAACTCCTGACCTCATGATCTGCCTGCCTCAGCCTCCCTAAGTGCTGGGATTATAGGCGTGACTCACCACGCCCGGCCAAAAGGCCTTTTTATTTTTAAAGTTTGAAGAAAAAGAATCTAAAAAGGAATTCGTATAGTCAATATACATTGAACACTTGTTTAGTAACACATGTCATTTATTTAAAAAAAAAAAAAAAAAAAAAGAAAGAAAGAAAAAACCAAACCCCAAAACAGAAACATCCTGTGTCTCAACAAAAACTATATGGAATCAACACCACTGAGGTCTGTGGAAAGAAAAAGAAAAATCTGTTCCCTTTGCTCTGCTGTAAGCTGGAAGGTGCTAGGCCCCTGTGTAGTAGTGCATAGAATTCTAGCTGCTTTCCTCTATTGAGCACAGAGTATACTATGTCTCTATGTGAATATGGACAGTAAGCATTTACCAACCTCTCCTTGTCTACTGTCTCTTGTTTAGAAAAAGAAAACAAATTTTACAAAATGGGGTTATAGAAGGTCAGCAAAAGGTAGGTTTGAAACGTTTAGATAGTTTAAAGTGAGCATTTTGACAAAGTTGCTTTTCCTTTGGCATGTTTAATTGTGATTTTTAAGGGACATCCTTGCATGACATTTTAAAAATAAATTCTCTCTTTTTTTTTTTTGAGAAAAAAAAAAAGCCTCTGTTGCCCAGGCTGGAGTGCAGTGGTGCAATCTTGGCTCACTGCAACCTCTGCCTCCTAGGTTCAAACGATTCTCCCACCTCAGCCTCCTGAGTAGCTGGGATTCCAGGCGTATGCCACCACAGCCCAGCAAATATTTCTATTTTTAGTAGAGACGGGATTTCACCATATTAGTCAGGCTGGTCTCAAACTCCTGACCTCAGGTGATCCACCCACGTCGGCCTCCCAAAATGCTGGGAGTACAGGCATTGGGAGTACAGGTATGAGCCACTGCACCCAGCCAATATATATATATATTTTTTTGAGGCAGAGTTTTGCTCTTGTTGCCCAGGCTGGAGTGCAGTGGACCTATTTCGGTTCACAGCAACCTCCACCTCCTGGGTTTAAGTGATTCTCCTGCCTCAGCGTCCCGAGTAGCTGGGATGCTACCACAGGTGACTAATTTTGTATTTTTAGTAGAGACAGGGTTTCTCCATGTTGGTCAGGCTGGTCTCTAACTCCCAACCTCAGGTTATCCGCCCGCCTCGGCCTCCCAAAGTGCTGGGATTACAGGTGTGAACCACCACGCCCAGCATAAATGCTCTCTTAATGATGACTTTAACCCTGCCACTCCATGGGAGAATCAGTAGAATCTGTAGGATCTTATTTGGAATTGACATTCTCTATTGTAAATTTGTTTATTTTTAAATTTGTTTTTTGTTTCACTGAAAAGATGATGTTCAATTTTAAAAGTTGAAAGTGTACAAGTTGCTTTGTTATGGTAAAACTAAATATGTACACACAAACACATACAAACAGAAATAAAACAAAGCATTATATGAATAGCCTGTAATCCCAACACCCAGTGATAACTACAGTTTACATTTTGATGTCTATAAGAGTTAATATAATGTCTATAAGGTTAATACTTACAGATTCCCGAAGGTACCCCTGCCCAGCGACATCATATAAACTGAGTCCTATTCTTGTTTGATGAAGCCAAACTGACAATAAATAAGAAAATGAAATGTAATTCTTAAGATTTATCCTTTAGATATGAAAAAGGAGATAAAGAGCTAGATTTGAGACGAGCTAATCTAGTAACTCTAAAAACATTATTTCTTCTCGCCACAAAATTGCTTGAAACAAAAAACCATAGAATGGTGGAGTTCAACAATTCTATCATGACTAAAGCTATAATAAAACTGACACCTTGAAGATACTGTTCTTTACCAATTAAACTTGGTGTTCCACCAAACAGGGACAGCTAGTATAATGTTATGCCTTCAATGAAGCTGCTTTTATTTCTGAGGTTAATTACAGCAACCAATTATTAAAGATTGTATACAGTAGGCTTTCACAGATTATTATAGCACTTGTAGGAATCATAAGTCCAAGCTGTTTAATAGATGCTCCTTGAAACTGATATCACAGTTGTGGGTCTGAAACTGTCCTTTCAGTCAACTCAACTTCTAATATCTTGGTAAAATAAAATTATCAGTAAATTGAAATTATTTCAAATCACCATACATTAAAACCCTTGGTTCAGCTCTTAATATTTCTAGTCTACTATTATCTTTAAGATACATGAGAGTTTAAAAACTTTTTGTTTTTTTTTGATAACCCAAGTTTATGTAACACATCTTGGTCAAAAATAAGAAGTTCTACTTCAAACTTAGAGTGATTTCACATGGAAGAAATACTTATAAAAGCACAGACCAAAAACCTACTTGCTTCCCACATAAGGAGTTCAAGCACAGTAAAAATGAATCACCTTTTCTCATGACATAATTAAAGAACTGCATGATGGAAATTCTTCCATATGAATCTGTATGAAGGAGTTTAGCAAAGACTTTTGCTGTGAAAAATTGCCTAAGAAAAGAAAATAAAGATTTAAATGATCTGCCAACATAGGAGAAAATGCCTTCTACATAAATTAGAAAATGGCATAAATTCATACAATCAAAAAATGAAAGAACAATAGAGACTGCTTATAATTCAAAAACTTAAAATATTAAGCCCTACTTTTTTTTTTTTTTTTTAAAGAAACAGAGATTTGCCGGGTGTGGTGGCTCTTGCCTGTAATCCCAGCACTTTGGGAGGCCGAGGTGGGAGGATCATGAGTCAAGAGATCGAGACCATCTTGGCCAATATGGTGAAACCCCATCTCTAGTAAAAATACAAAAAGTATTTGTATTTGGTATTTATATTGTATTATACTGTATTTATAATTATGATTTTATTATAATTATAGTGTTTATAAGTATAATATAATTATTAATAATAATATATTATTCTTACTTGCACTTGGGAGGCTGAGGCAGGAGAATCACTTGAACCCGGGAGGCGGAGGTTGTAGTAAGCCGAGATTGCACCACTCCACTGCAGCCTGGCGACAGAGCAAGACTCCATCTCCTGTCCTCAAGTGATCCACCTGTATTGGCCTCCCAAAGCACTAGAATTACATATGTGAGGCACCATGCCTAGCCTAAGTCATAAACGTTTGCATTTTTTTTTTTTTAATTAAAAGTTTTATTTTGCAGAGATGGGCATGTGAGCCACAGTGCCTGGCCTTGCATTCTTTTTTGTTTGCTTTTGTCTGTCTTAAGGCTGAAAGTGTCATAAACTATATTCTTTTTTTTTTTTTTTGATGGAGTTATTTAGTAACTTCATACCAATGTGATTTTTTGACTGTAAATAATTTTATTAAATTTCATTAGTAACTTAAATTGACTCAAATGTCATACCATTTACTTCAATTAATATTTGAGGATTTATTTTTTTTAAAGGCAGGGTCTTGCTCTGTCACCCAGGCTGGAGTGCAATGGCTTAATCACAGCTCATCCTCCCGAGCTCAAGCAATTCTCCCACCTCAGCCTCCTGGGTAGCTACAGGTGTACACCCCCACACCCAGATAATATTTTTATTTTTAGTAGAGACAAGATCTCCCTAAGTTGCCCAGGCTGGTCTCAAACACTCCAGCTCAAGCAATCCTCCCACCTCAGTCTCCAAAACTGCTGGGATTACAGGTGTGAGCCAGTGTGCCTAGCCAATATTTGAGGCATTTAAAATGCTTAACGTAACATATTCTTTTGTTAATTATATTATTCTTACTTGCACTTTGCTCCAGCCTTTTCACCAACCTTCAAAAAGTTTTCATAATTGATCATCGCTTCCTCTCCAATCATAGGTGGTGTCTGGTGTTTGTCCAGCAAAAACCATAAGTTCTTAAGAGAATTGTGGAAGTGAAGATGTTATAAGTTAAAAACAAGATTTAAAAATGTAGTTAAATGCGTGCTTCCCACTAAAATGATAGTTTGTTAGCAGAGTCAATATTAAGATGAATCTCATGCCCTATTGTCTTTTTGATTACTAACAATAAAAATAACATGTATTGAGTGCCTACTAAGCTTTTGGTATACACTTCCTCTTTAATCCACATAACTCTATGATACAGTTAGCTATCTCTACTTTAGAGATGATAAACCAAGCACAGAGATGTTAAGTCCATTGCCTAAAGTCGTATAGCAGGGCTGGGATTTGAACCTCTGTAGTCTGACCCTACAGCAGTGGTTCTGAACCTTGGCTGCACAGTATAATCACCTAGAGCCTTAAACAACAATAACAAACAACACTATTTTTGGGGTATATGACCCATGCAAACTCAGCAGCTGTTTCTGGTGGGAACTGCTGCTTCAGAGCCTATGCAGTACCACTCTGTAGTATGGACTCCATTAGGCACCAAGAAATCTTGCATGATTTAAGTAGTACAAATGAGAAATGGTTAACATCTAAAGCAACTTTTTGCTTAGTTCTTACCTGTAATTCTTCATTATCTAACAGTTCTCTGCTTTTTCTTTGTAGAAAGACAGCTCTTGATTCCTCTCTTAATTTCTGTAGTAACACTTCATCTTCAGCAGGCAGCTGAAAATACAACGTAAATTTCTACATGTAAATTTTAGACTACTGGATCCTGTAAAATGTATGTGGTCTCCTAAAATAACTGTATGCCACAGCCTCAAATTATTTCTTGTATCTCACCTTAATTGTGCTTAACATTTGTTTAACAAAAACTGATCCACAGAGAATCAGTGATCAGCAAGGCTGGATCTCTGCCCTGAAAAAGCTATTCTAAAAGCTAGTCTAGTCCAAGTTTCATTTTATTTCCTTAAAGCACTGTGCTTCCATTGTCACCTTAGAATGATATAGAATTGGCTGGGTGCGGTGGCTTCCTTAGAATGATACAGAATTGGCTGGGGGCGGTGGCTCACACACCTGTAATCCCAGCAATTTGGGAGGCAGAGGCAGGTGGATCACGAGGTCAAGAGGTTGAGACCATCCTGGCCCCGCCTCTACTAAAAACACAAAAATTAGCTGGGCATGGTGGCATGTACCTGTAGTCCCAGCTACTCAGGAGGCTGAGGCAGGAGAATCGCTTAAACCCAGGAGGCAGAGGTTACAGTGAGCTGAGATTGTGACACTGCACTCCAGCCTGGCGACAGAGTGAGACACTGTCTCAAAAAAAAAAAAAAAAACACAATTAAAGAGATATAGAATTAAATGAGGATTAACTGAAGATTGACAATTTCAAAACCACCTTTGCAAAATTGTAACAGTGAGAAAATGATGACAGTGAAAGAGACCTGACCTAACCAAGTCCATCTTGTTTTTAACCTCCAATCTGCCCTTGGTCATTCCTGGGCATGGGCCAAGATATTAATAAATTTGGGAGAAATTTAGTTTATGATTTAAATGATAATAGCTCATCCCCAAACTAAACTGCCTTTGTAAAACTAATAAAAGGCCACCAGGTCAGGAGGATGAGAAAGACCAGAATTCTGCTAAGATGGAGGCCAGTTAAATGATTAGCAGTCATTATTCCAGAGGTCACAAAAATCTGCAACATCCTCAATTACTCCTGTAAGTAACATCACTATTGTAGTACACAGGACCAGCCTTTTGAGATGCCTTCTCAGGCTTTTGCACTTCTGACTACCCAGTCGCCCCTCTCAGACCAGCTACTCCTCTGTGGCCCCAACCCAGAAGCAGACTCAGCACGCAAGGACCAGGACTGTTTTTCTATATCCCTGTGATTGCATCCCCAACCAATCAGTAGCACCCATTCCCTAGCCCTCTGCCTACCAAACTATCCTTGAAAAACCCTAGCCTCCAACTTTTCAAGAAGGCTGATTTGAGGAATAATAAAACTCCTGTCTTCCATTTAGTTGGCTCCACGTATATTAAATTCTTTCTCTCTTGCAATTCCCATCTTGATAAATTGGCTCTATCTGGGTAGCAGGCAAGAAGAACCTGTTGGGTGGTTCTCACCTGTAATTCCTCTTGTCCAGCAAAAACCATTTATTCTTCTTGTCCAGTTTAGGAAAGCATGCCTGTTGAGATTGGATCACCTTCATTCTTGGAGATGGTCAAGGCAGTACCTATTATGTTGGCCTCCCAGGCAAGAGGGTTTGTCAACTGGGGTGATTTCCATGAGCAGAGCTTTAGAATGACTCATTCCAACCTGACTTAGAACAATCTACTTCATTTCTTCTTTTTTTAATTAATAATAGAGACAGGGTCTTGCTATGTTGCCCAGGTTGGTCTTGAGATCCTGGGCTCAAGCAATCCTCCCACCTTGGCCTCCCAAAGTGCTAGGATTACAGGCATGAGCCACCACACCCAGTCAGAACAATTTACTTTAAAGAGCTCTTCTTCCTCTTCTACATCTTAGCCCCATTAAATGTACCTCAGTAAACCTTAACGTCAAAACTCAGGGTTATGGTTTTTACCTTTCATTTCCAGGAACTAAGATGCCATCCCTCCCATCAGAAGGAACAGAGTTAAAAGAGTATAAACCAAAAATAAAATTCTAAGGCTCCCAACAATCTGAATGGTCTTCCTCCTCAGTCAGGGCCCTTAAAATTTAACCTGAGAGACCATTTCAGGGCATGATGGGAAGTGAGGGTCAAACATGCCTCATTCTACCTCTCTGGCATTAACATCAACACAGACTTTAAGTCTAATAAGAAACATTTTACGACCTATTCTCTCTGAAGCCTGCTAGCTAAAAGCTTCATCTGCATGATAAAACCTTGGTCGCCATAGCCTCTTAACTTAACCCAGACATTCCTTTCTGTTTGATCCCTGGTCTTTAGAGAAACTCAACCAAGTGTCAACCAGCAAATGTTTGAATTTACCTGTAGCCTGGAAACTCCGCTTCAAATTGCCCCACCTTTCTGGACCAAACCAATGTATTTCTCAAATGTATTTGATTGATGTCTCATGCCTCCCTAAAACATGTGAAACCAAACTGCACCCAAACCACCTTTGGCACGTGTTCTCAGGATCTCTTGAAGGCTATGTCACAGGCCATGGTCACTCACATTTGGCTCAGAATAAATCTTTTCAAATATTTTACAGAGTTCGACTCTTCATCAACAGAAGAAACATTAGGAGGTGGGGATGGGACTGCAGTTGGGGCTGAGATTGTGTTCTAGTGACTGTAAAGGTAAACTGAGGCTGGAGCCTAACTGGGAACGAAGACACAAGGCAAATGGCAGTGAGAATAGCCTTTGTTAGGACTCGCGGGCAAGGTTCCTTGGTCCAAAGGTGCGGGCCAAGGAAGTCGCGCTGAGGGAGGAGGGTAAGGCCTTTTTATAGCCTGAGAAGTAGGGAAGCTGGTTGTACAAACAGGGCCTGCAGAGTCTTGAAACTACTAGGGCAGGAGTTGAGTAAGGGTCATGAGGAAGGGGTCTTTGGAAACTGTTTAACTGAAACTGCTGTTTACAAACTTGTGAAATGCAGGTGAGCTGCAGGTCATGGGGGGGGGTGTGGTTGCCCAACCAGAACTCTGATGCATGTGAGTCTGCGGGTGTGTACAAGGGTGAAGGGAGTCTTTAACAAAAGGCCTGCTACGCCGGGTAACGCTGCCATGTTGGGTCTAACAGTGACTAGTTAACCAGCTAATCAGCCAAGGAAAGAAATGGTGACTCAAGATAATAGGTGTTTTCTCTGAAGCAGTGGGGACCACGGAGAGGAAGAAGAAAGAAGGGAAAGAACTTTTTTACAAATCCATAGCTGCAGACAGGAAACCATCTAAGATCTAGAGGTGGCCCAAGAGAGAAGTGACATGAAGACAGGGAAAATAGGAGATTCCCTCAGAAACCAGAAAAAGAAGGCGAAGGTTTGGTCCTGGAAGTACAAGAAAGTTCAGTGCTGGCCTCAGGAATGGGATCACACCATTCCTATCCAAGAGCTGTTAGGAATGACACAGAGTAGGAAAGGGGGCTTGGGTCAGCTCACTCCCACTACGGCACTTTTTCATGCATTTCCACTGATCACAAAACCCACACCATCACCTCACTGATACCACAATGTCTGAACCATGCCTTTTACTCAAAAGAATTCCAGTAACTAGCCTTAGGAGATAACCAGAGTTGTGGAGTGGGTGTCCTATCTAGGGAAGGAATGCTGAACAACTGATTTACAGCCTTGTTGCCTCTAGCCAGACCAGGTGGCCCACTGCTCAAGATAACCATAGCAACCAGATAATGCAGACTTGCATACCCTACCTGATCTGCTTTGCCCAGCCCAGCCTGCATACCCCACCCTAATATCAATCCCTGATTTAAAAAAAAAAACCCTACCAGCTCTTTTCAGAGTCAGGTGCTCTCTCTCCCTTTTGCGTTGAGAACCCAAGAACTTGTGTTCGATAACAGTAATATATTATTTAAGAATCCAGGTTAAATGAGATAATACAAAAGGCTGTGTGTGGGAAAAAGAGAGATCAGACTGTTACTGTGTCTATGTAGAAAGAAGTAGACATAAGAGACTCCATTTTCTTCTGTACTAAGAAAAATTCTTCTTCCTTGAGATACTGTTAATCTGTAACCCTACCCCCAACCCTGCCCTTGCAGAGACATGTGCTGTGTCTACTCAAGGTTTAATGGATTTGGGGTTATGCAGGATGTGCTTTGTTAAGTGCCTAAAGGCAGTATACTTGTTAAAAGTCATCACCATTCTCTAATCTCGGGGACACAAACACTGCAGAAAGCCGCAGGGACCTCTGCCTAGGAAAGCTATGTATTGTCCAAGGTTTCTCCCCATGTGATAGTCTGAAATATGGCCTTGTGGAAAGGGAAAGACCTGAAGGGTCTGTGCTGAGAAGGATTAGTAAAAGGTCTCCTGCCTGTCTCTGGGCAATGGAATGTCTCGGTGTAAAACCTGATTGTATGTTCTATTTACTGAGGTAGGAGAAAACCACCTTAGGGCTGGAGGTGGGACATGCTAGTGGCAATGCTACTCTTAATGCCCTGAAAATGTTTATGGAGATGTTTGCATATGCACATCAAAGCACAGCACTTTTCCTTAAACTTATTCATGACACAGAGATCTTCATTCATATGTCTCCTTGCTGACCTTCTTCCTACTATGACCCTATGGTCCTGCCACTTCCCCTCTCCGAGATGGTGAAGATAATGATCAAAAAATACTGAGGGAACTCAGAGGCTGGGGCGGTGGCCTGGGTCCTCTGTATGCTGAGCACTGGTCCCCTGGGCCCACTTTCCTTTCTCTATACTTTGTCTCTGTGTCTTTCTTAAGTCTCTCGTTCCACCTGACGAGGGAAACGCCCACAGGTGTGGAGGGGCAGGCCACCCCTTCACTCTGAAGTGCTTAGACACTCAATAAATGTCAATTCCCTTCTCTCTCCCCTAGGTTATCAAAAATATTCAGTTATCTAGCTGCCCCTGTTTAAGAAAAGTGTGAAATGCAAAAAGCAGTAAAAGTATGTATGATGTAACCCCATTTTAAAAAATACACAGATACCCACAAAAATATGTAGAAGGATTCCCATAAAATGTTCTGTTTACATTGTTGGGTGATGTTGTTATGGGAAGAGATCAACTTGTTTAGCCATATTTTTTTCCTTTTCTACAATAAATATTGTTTGGGTGAGGGAGAAAGGACAAGATGGAGGAAGGTGAACAAGAAGGCACAATCCATGTTGCTTCCGGGTTCTTCCTCACCAACTTTCCCGCACGCGGGAAAATGCAGCCAGCGCTGGGGAAGATGTAGATCAACCGAGCATGCGCCAGGTGATGTCAATCCGAAGAGATCGAATCTTACCCGGCCACACCTATGGAGACGCCCCTATCACGCCCTTATCCTGCCCACTGCCCTCCCCCTTCCAGTACCAATGCATAAAAGTTCGCTGCTTGCAGGAGCCGGTGTGACTTCTTCGACCCCCGCATTTGTGGGCCAGAGAACCTCACCCGAGAGCACCCGCGCAACTTCCCTGGCCCCCCAACACCTGAGGACCAGAGAACCTCACCCGAGAGTGTGCGCATATTTGCAATAAAAGACTGCCACTTTCTTATGTACTTTGGCCTCATGTTTAATTATTTAGCTCTCTTAAATTAAATGAAACAAAACAAATATGGGCTAGCATTACTGGCATGTGATTCTTAAGAGGTTGAGAAGTATATATAAATGTTCAGTGAAAAAAATTTGCACTTGAAGAAATATTTCAGTATCTGGATAACTCACTTATATAAATACCTTAACCTGTAAGAACACTACCTAAATAAATGTTTACTATATTTGCAAATAATGTTATAATTAATAGAGTTAGAAGGTAACAGGTTCAAGGGACATCCAGCTAAGATTCCAGTTAACTTGTATAGTGGTTACATTTTCCATAATACTAAATAGATATTTTTTGGTAGACCTCACTTTCAGGTATAAATAGCTTTCTTTTTAAAAAAATAAATAAATAAAATTAAAAAAAAGATGGGGTGGGCCCGGCATGGTGGCTCACGCCTGTAATCCCCGCACTTTGGGAGGCCGAGGCAGGTAGATCGCCTGAGATCAGGAGTTCGAGACCAGCCTGGCCAACATGACGAAACCCTGTCTCTACTAAAAATACAAAAACTAGCTGGGTGTGGTGGCACACACCTATAATCTGAGCTACTTGGGAGGGCTGAGGCAGGAGAATCGCTTGAACCTGGGAGGCAGAGGTCGCAGTGAGCTGAGATCAGGCCACTGCACTCTAGCCTGGGCAACAGTGAGACTCCGTCTCAAAAAAAAAAAAAAAGATGGGGTGTGGGGTGGTCTCACTATGTTGCCCAGGCCGGTCTCAAACTCCTGAGCTTACGAGATTCTCCCTTCCTCACCCTCTCAGAGTAGCTGGGACTACAGCTGAATGCCCTACCATACCCAGGTTGTAAACAGCTTTTTTTCTTTTTTCTTTTTTTTTGAGATAGGCTCTTGCTCTGCTACCCAGGCTGGAATGCAGTGGCATGATCACAGCTCACTGCAGCCTCAACCTCCTGAGCTCAAGTGATCCTTCCACCTCAGCCTCCTGAGTAGTGGGGACTACAGGTGTCATCATCATGCCTGGCTAAGTTTTTTTGGAGAGACGAGATCTCACCAAGTTGCCCAGACTGGTTCTCAAACTCCTGGCCTCAAGTGATCCTCCTGATTTGATGGCCTCCCAAAGTGGTAGGGTTATAGGTGTGAGTCACTGCTCCCGGCCAACCTTTTTTTTTTTTTTTTTTTGAGACAGGGTCTTTGCTCTATCACCCAGGCTGGAGTGCAGTGACCCTATCGTAAATAGCTTTTCTTAAGGTCTATTTTGTCTATATGTCCCTTCAAGCCATTTTCAGAGAAATAGTCAAGTGAAATTCCTTTTTGTTTGTTTGTTTGTTTGAGATGGTGTCTTGCTCTGTCACCCAGGCTGGAGTGCAGTGGCGTGATCTCAGCTCACTGCAACCTCCACCTCTCAGGTTCAAGAGATTATCCTGCCTCAGCCTCCTGAGTAGTTGGGATCACAGGTGCACATCACCACTCCTGGCTAATTTTTGTATTTTCAGTAGAGACTGGGTTTCACCATATTGGTCAGGCTGGTCTTGAACTCCTGACCTCGTGATCCACCCACCTTGGCCTCTCAAAGTGCTGGGATTACAGGCATGAGCCACCATGCCTGGCCTCAAGTGAAATTCTTTAAGTTTTCCATTTTCAATCGATTTTTTGGTTTAGCCTTGAGCAAAATTTTAAAACTTTGTAACAAAGTGTTGTATACCTGATAACACAATCCAATAGAATACTTACTACTAGTATCTATAACAAAAATTAGAAAGAAAAAGCCGACAGTTTAACAACTTTGTGTTTACATACCCACTTAAATCTAAACTTGGGGTTTTATTGGGCTCAAAATGTTTTATAATAGTGATAAGATTACAATAAAATAATAAATATACAAAATTTAAAATATAATCCTCTATTTTTAAAACATAAAATTCTGGTCCTATTTTTAAAATTACTTTTTTCTGGGGGTGGGGGGACAGGGTCTAACTCTGTTGCCCAGGCTGGAGTGCAGTGACACAATCATGGCTCACTGCTGCCTCGACCTCCTGGGCTCAAGTGATCCCCCTGCTTCAGCCTCCTGAGAAGCTAGGACTATAGGCATGCATCACCATGTCCAGCTATTTAAAAAAAAATTTTTTTTTAGAGATGGGGTCTTGCTATGTTGCTCTGGCTGGTCTCAAATTCCCAGACTCAAGCGATCCTCCCGCCTCAGCCTCCCAAAGTGTTGGGATTATAGGTATGAGCCACCTTGCCTTGCCAAAAATTGTATTTCATTTTTAAACTCTGCAGGACATTTGATTAGACACTACTTACCCTATAATAAAACCGGGGAATGGTCTTATAGAATTCATTTGTGTTTTTTCTACCTCCTTTCCATTCGGAGTAATATTTTGTAAATAAATCCATTTCTTCATCTTTTAATTCTTGTTCACTTTTTTTTTCTGGTAACAAAACAGATTAAGGGGAGCACTTTTAAAATCAAGCAGTACTTTTACTCAGGTCATCCTATATGTTAATAATTTAAATAGTTGCAGTGCCAAAAAGGCCTTCACAATTGTGCTTAGACACTAAGCATATTAACTTTTCTGAAATACCAAGAATCACTATCATCTACTGAAGCAGCCTCCTCTACATCTTCAACCATTTCTCAGCATGCTCCCTCTACTTCTGTTTACTGCTAAAGCTAGTCTCTTCCTCAAGTCATTACCTTTCCTACAGGACTCTGTAGAGTGCTAATTCATTCAATGAAAAGAATTTACTGAGCACCTACTATGTACAGAGAGCACTGTAGTAGACATGGAATGAGGTGTGAGCAAGACAGCGCCAGTCCCTGACCTCATGGAGTTTCAGCTTCACAATCACTGTTTCTCTACCTAATGTAGAGAAAACAAACAAAAAAACATCCTCTGTCTGAAGCTCAAAACTCAGGGCTCTTATTACCCTGCAACTCGCCTGCTATTGGCCCGTGGCTGTCTCATTCAGCCAATTCCTCCCCACTTATTTGTGGACTACAGTGACCGGTACACAGTGTTCTTCACAAGGTCCTGCAATCATTTAGGACAAATAAACATTTATGTGGGTGACCATGGGTCCTGCAACTCTAAAAACTTTCACCTCCAGTTCATTCTGCCATTTGGTTCTACAGCAAGATCACAGATTTTACCTGTACCTTTTCTGAAATCTTAAGCTCAAATATACTCTCAGATCATCCTTACTGGTAATTCAAAACCTCACTGCCATAGCATTTCCACTTCAGCCTCACTGAGCTCTTGAATTCTGTGATCTGTTTTCTCAAAAGTTATTTTACTCTTTCTGGTCTCATTTCCTTCCCAACAAGCCTATAATTGTTTCCTTGAATTCCTTTTATGACTTATTTCTGCTGCATCTGTTAACTGTTAATTTTTTTTTTTTTTTTTTTGGAGACGGAGCTTCGCTTTTGTTGCCCTGGCTGGAGTGCAATGGCATAATCTTGGCCCACTGCAACCTCCGCCTCCCAGGTTCAAGTGATTCTCCTGCCTCAGCCTCCTGAGTAGCTGGGATTACAGGCATGTGCCACCACGCCTGGCTAATTTTGTATTTTTAGTAGAGATGGGGTTTCTCCATGTTGGTCAGGCTGGTCTGGATCTCCCAACCGCAGGTGATCTGCCCGCCTCAGCCTCCCAAAGTGCTGGGATTACAGGCATCACCCACTGTGCCTGGCCTATTATGTTAATTTTTAACTTTAGACCAAACCTGTAAGTTAATTTCTTTACTATGGCTCAGTGCTGTTGGAGAAAACTGCAAAATTTTTCAAGTAAAATCAAGACTGACAACTGACCACTGAAGTTAACAATATGGCGGTCAATGACGATTCTTGACAAGCAGGAATCTGAGACAAGTACAGATTTAACCAACAACTGTTTTAACAAATATTGCTATAAGGGGAACAGAAAAATGAGGAATGGTTAGAGGTGGAAATTAAGTCAAGAAAGTTGAAGATGGGAGAAATACCAGCATGTTTATATGCTGATGGGAATGATTAAAGAAAAACTGATGATGTAGGAGAAGGGACAACTGCCAAGAGTACATCCTGCAGCAGGCAAAAATGGAATCTACTACAAAGGATAGGATCTAGTACACTGATGAAGGAACCAGACTTAAGCAGGTGCTGTACAACCTATATAATTTGCTTATTATTTTATTATTTCTCTTCACACTAAAGTGTAAGTTCTACAAAGACAGGGATTTTTGTGTGTTCTAAGCTACAATGGTACTTGGCACGAAACAGGCATGGAATAAGTATCTGCTAAAAGAATGTAGTGTGTTCAAGAGTTAAGGGGTCAAAAAAGCACATAAAGTACAGGTACCTTCTTTTGTTTTTGAGACTGAGTTGTACTCTGTCACCTAGGCTGGAGGGCAGTGGCACGATCTTGGCTCACTGCAACCTCCACCTCCTGGGTTCAAGTGATTCTCCTGCCTAAGCCTCCTAAGTAGCTGGGATTACAGACACTCGCCACAACGCCGGGCTAAATTTTGAATTTTTAGTAGAGACAGCGTTTCACCATGTTGGCCAGGCTGGTCTCGATCTCCTGACCTCAGGTGATCCACCCACTTCAGCCTCCCAAAGTGCTGGCATTACAGGCGTAAGCCACTGTGCCCAGCCAAGTACAGGTAACTTCTTTGAGAAGTTTTCCTATAAAGAGTGCAGAGAAATGCAGCAGAAGCTGGAGAGATATGTGGGATCAAATGACTCTTTTTTTTTTTATTTTGAGATGGAGTCTCGTTCTGTCGCCCAGGCTGGAGTGCAGTGGCATAATCTCAGTTTACCGCAACCTCTGCCTCCCGGGTTCAAGCGATTCTCCTGCTTCAGCCTCCCAAGTAGCTGGGATTACAGGTGCGAACCACTGTGCTCAGCTACTTTTTGTATTTTTAGTAGAGACAGGGTTTCACCATATTGGCCAGGCTGGTCTTGAACTCTGGACCTCAAGTGATCTGCCTACCTCGGCCTCCCAAAGTGTTGGGATTATAGGCGTGAGCCACAGTGCCCAGCCCAAATGACTTTTTTTAAGACAGGGTCTGACTTTTGTCACCCAGGCTGCAGTATAGTGTCATGATCATAGCTCACTGCAGCCCCAAACTCCTAGATTGAAACAAACCCTCCTTCCTCAGCCTCTAGAGTAGCTAGGACTACAGGGGTGCACAACCACCAGGGCTAATTTTTTTACTTTCTATTTTTGTAGAAACAGTGTTTCACTATGTTGCCCAGGCCAGTCTCAAACTCCTGGCCTCAAGCCATCTTCCCACTTTGGCCTTCCAAAGTGCTGGGAGTGAGCCACCTGGCCTCCCAACAACACTCCCCCCACCCACCCACCTTTTAAAAAGATGGGTGATATTAATAGCACACTTGTGCTGGTGAAAATGATCCAGCAGAAGGAAAATCTGACGATGTATGAAAGAAAGGATGAGGCTGGAAGGAAGTCAGTGAATACAGGAGAAAGAATGCAATCTAGTGGTGGAGTGGAGGGACTCTTAAATAGGAACATGGACAGTTCATCATTTTAACAGTGAAGCCAGAGTGTATGGGCACCTGTGGGGTTGTGGGGCTGAAAGAAACGTTAAGGGGGACAGGTGAAGTTCTCCTTTGACTGCTTTTTTTTGAGACTGAGTCTCACTCAGTCGCCCTGGCTGAAGTGCAGTGGTGCAATCTCGGCTCACTGCAACCTCCGTCTCCCAGGTTCCAGCAATTCTTCTGCCTCAACCTGTGGAACAGCTGAGACTATAGGCGCCCGCCACCACGACCGGCTAATTTTTTTTTGTATTTTTAGTAGAGACGGGGTTTCCCCGTGTTAGCCAGGATGGTCTCGATCTGCTGACCTCGTGATCCGCCCGCCTCAGCCTCCCAAAGTGCTGGGATTACAGGCCTGAGCCACCGTGCCCGGCCAACTGATTCTCCTTTCTTAATGGGATATATATTAAAAAAACAAGTTCATCAGCTTAAAGTAAGAAGTGGGTAGGACAGACTGCAGGTGTAAGAGATCAGAAGAATGGACTGTAAAAGAGTGCTGCCTGGGCACTCACGTCTGTAATAGCAACACTTTGGAAGGTGGAGGTAGGAAGACTGCCTGAGGCCAGGAATTCGAGACCAGCCCTATTAACATAGCAAGACCTCACCGCTACTAAAAATAAAAAATTAGCGGATGTGGTGGCGTGTGCCTGTACTTCCAGCTGCTTAGGAGGCTGAGGTGGGAGGATCCTTTGAGCCCAGGAAATCGAGGTTGTCACTGTGCTGCTGCACTCCAGCCTGGGCAACAGAGGGAGAGCCTGAATTAAAAAAAAAAAAAAAAATAGTGTATCTAAGGGAACACAGATTGGCAGTTTGGCAGATGAAAATTGAATGTAGGAGAATGAACGTCCAGGAAAACACAGTAGACATGACCGAAACACCTACTTTAGCTTAGTGGACATGTACTAAAAGTGAGATAACTCGGCGGGGCGCGGCAGCTCACGACTGTAATTCCAGCACTTTGGGAGGCCGAGGTGGGTGGATCACGAGGTCAGGAGTTTGAAACCAGCCTGACCAATATGGTGAAACCCCGTCTCTACTAGAAATTAACCCGCCGTGGAGGCGCGCGCTTGTAGTTCCAGCTACTCGAGGCTGAGGAAGAAGAATCGCTTGAAGCCGGGAGGCGGAGGCTGCAGTGAGCTGAGATGCTGCCACCGCATTCCAGCCAGCCCGGGCGACAGAGCAAGAGACTCTGTCTCAAAAAAAAAAAAAAAAAAAAAAAAAAGGTGAGACAAACAAGGTTCTGTTTTTCTCCAGCCACTTTCAACAGCCCTTAGTGCGGGTGTGGAATAGGAAAGCTAGATTTAACGAGGTTAGTTAATAAGCAATGTGAAGGAGAAAAATAAAAGGAAAAATGGATTATGAAATACAAAATGGATTAGGAGGGAAGCAAAAAGCGTGACAGTAAAAAGGACAGTAAAAAAGACAATTACAGGTCCTGGTGGGGTTAAGGCGTTTATGGATCCGGGGTTCTAAGTTATTCTTCACAAGTTTAGATTAAGACCATGGAAGTCAGTGACTAAGGCTAAGTTTTTCGTTCCCCTAGACTCCGTCCCAGGAAAGTTTGGGTCAACCCTATCGGGATCCCTAAAGCACATTCCACTCCGCCTCCTTTGTCGGGAGGTTTCACAGAAGCTGAAAGTGCGGCTCCCCCTTGCTCCTCCTCCCCACCTCCCCCCTACCTTTAGGAGTTTAGGGCCGGGCCATCCCAACGGGCGGCCCCTCCCAAAACTCACTGTTTGGACGGGTGTTGGGCGTCGCTAAGCGCCGACGAAGAACTTCTTTCCAGTCCATGGCCGACTCTCGCGCAGCAGCTTCTGCATTTGCTGTTTCCTACCTGCTCCACCCCTACCAACTCAGGCGTCAGCACCGCCAGGCCCCGTAAAGGTTAGGAAGGCCGCTCAACCACCATCTTGAACAAGGGCGGAAGTCTTGGCTAAAGAGGCAAAAACAGTTACTGTCACTCCCGCAGAGAATACTGCTACCACGCTGACTGGGGGAAAGCTATGAAAGAGATGGAAAATGGTTCTCCTTCAGGAGGCGTCCCAAGCCCACCAAGCCGGATTTTAAAAGCCAGGATAAGCCCGCGTTTTCCTTTATCGTGCGCCTTTGGCGCGTGCGCACCACGTGACTCAGGAGTTAATTGGTTCCGGCTTGAGGGAAGCGCTTTCTTTCACAATTTCTTTTCATTGTTCATTGCGGATATCTGTAAGCCCTCCAGGTCCCCTGAATGTAGTAGACGCTTCCGCAGCCGTCTCTTACCCCTTTTGCCACTAAATGCTTCAAAATTGCCTTTTTTCCTCGCCGCCAGGCCAGGCGGAACGCCTAAGTCCGGGTCAGTCTCGTCAGTCGGCCGGGGCTGGCGCGGTGCACAGCGGGCACTGTAGTTCCCGCCGCGTTTATGGCCGCGTTAAGCCTGAGTGCTGCGTTGAGTTGTTGGATGAAGTGAACTTCGTTTGTCAGCGGTAGGTACACAGTCTAGGCAGCGCCCTTCCTGGATCTCTCTTCCTTTCCCGAGTCGTTGGCGCAGCTGACTCGCCACCTCCTCCCTCCGCATCCCTCCATTGGAGGAGCTTTGCGGCCTTTGGAGACTTATGCAGGGTGAGGGCCCCTAGACTTTGGCTTTCGCCGCTGTTGCTGGTGGGCTGGAGTTGGAGGCTCCTGGATACGGTTTTGGCTTTATACCCCCTTTCCAGCAAGCTTCCCGTGGGAATCTGTTACTTTTCAGGACAACTGTGATCCACGTGAGTAAAACTGGGCGTTCCTTCTTGTGCTTTTTCCTCAGGTTCATGAACTGGAATGTAAGAGGCACCAGAGGATTCCTGCTCTCTCCCGTGGTTTGCGGCTTGCGACGTTGAACATCCCCGGATTGTTGTTTAATAGAGAAAACTCACCTGCCTTCTTGCTATTAAGTAACCCCAAAAGCAGAACTTTGATTTGTCTGTAAGGAAGAAACACAAACCTTCTTTTAAAAAGCTGCACTTCGACTCTCCACTGCCGACCACCAATCCCTTTTATTTTGCTATAGAAGAGGATTTTTTTCCAACATCTCTCTCACTATCTGGTGCTGATCTCACTGCATAATGACTTTCTATTTGTTTGGTATTCGAAGCTTTCCTAAGCTTTGGAAGAGCAACCCATACCTTGGGCTAGGCCCAGGGCACTCTTATGTCTCTCTCTCTCTTTCAGACAGCTGTGGCATCAGGAGCCAACAGAGGTTGTTTTCTCTTAAAACAATGTCTCCACAGAATACCAAAGCAACGAATCTGATTGCCAAGGCCAGATATCTCAGGAAAGAGGAGGGCAGTAATAAGCAAGTTTCTTCTGTTCCTCATTTTTTTTCAGCTGGAGCAGCTAAGGAGAGATCACAGATGAATCCTCAAAGTCAAGATCATGCCTTGCCATCTGTGAGGAACATTATTCAACTCCCAACACAACCTTTGAATTCAGAGGAGTGGGATAAACTTAAGGCGGATTTCAAAGGAAAGACCGGTTTTGAAAGATTCATCATTTCACAGATGGCTCACTCTCATAGCTCTGTGGATGTGGCTAAATCTCTGCTGGCATGGGTAGCAGCAAAAAATAATGGTATCGTAAGTTATGATTTATTGGTCAGGTATTTGTATCTCTGTGTCTTTCATATGCAGACATCTGAAGTTATTGATGTCTTTGAAATTATGAAAACCAGATATAAGACTTTAGAACCTGGAGGTTACACTCTTCTCATCCAGGGACTGATCCATTCAGACAGATGGAGAGAATCATTGTTGCTGTTAGAGGACATCAAAAAAGTTATCACTCCTTCCAAAAGGAACTATAATGACTGTATCCAGGGAGCTCTCCTTCATCAAGATGTAAACACAGCTTGGAATTTGTATCAGGAATTACTAGGTCATGATATTGTTCCTATGTTGGAAACTTTAAAAGCTTTCTTTGATTTTGGAAAAGACATAAAGGATGATAATTATTCAAATAAACTACTAGATATTCTTTCATATCTAAGAAATAATCAGCTGTATCCAGGGGAATCATTTGCACACAGTATAAAAACATGGTTTGAGAGGTAATTTTGATTTTTTTGTATGTATGTTTTTATTCTTTAATTTTTTTTTTTTTTTTTGAGACAGCGTCTTGCTCTGTTGCCCAGACTGGAGTGCAGTGGTGTGTTCATAGCTCCCTGTAATCTCAAACTCCTGGCCTCAAGTGATCCTCTCGCTTCAGTCTCCTGAGTATCTAAAACTACAGGCATGTGCCACCATACCTGGCTAATTATTTTTAACTTAATAACTTTAAACCTCAAAGTAGCCACTCTTTTTTGTTGTTAGTTGCTGAGAATCATTCTATTCTGATTATACTTTTTTCCGTCTCTTAGTAAGGTTTATTTTCTCTTTAAGAGAAAATTTTCTCTCTTTAAAAAAAGTAGCAGCATACATAATTTGTGCTAATCTTTACCCATCACATAAAAGTGAAATTTTATAGCACTTTTATGTGTTTTTTTCCTTTTAGAAGGATCATTAATTTTGTTTTCTTAGGCATCTAGTATGATGTGAGTACTTAATACTACTTATGGCCAGTGTTCATAGCAAGAAAAGAATATAGCATTTGACTGGAACTGTCTCGGGCCATATTAGTATTTTCAGAAGTTCCTCTGAAAATGTGATTATGTGCTTATATTTATTCTGTCTACTCACTGTCTTTTTTATTTTCTTTGAAGACGGAGTTTTGCTGCTGTTGTCAGGCTGGAGTGCAGTGGCGCGATCTTGGCTCACTGCAACCTCCACCTCCCGGGTTCAGGCAATTCTGCCTCACCCTCCCAAGTAGCTGGGATTACAGGCATGTGCCACCACGCTCAGCTCATTTTGTATTTTCTTCTTAGTAGAGATGGAGTTTCTCCATGTTGGTCAGGCTGGTCTCGAACTACCTCAGGTGGTCCGCCCGCCTCGGCCTCCCAGAGTGCTAGGATTACAGGTGTGAGCCACCACACCTAGCCACAGTTTACATTTCAATAGCGAGATTATAGATGACAGATAATATAAATAAGCCATATCATCCGAGTTGATGAACTATAGAGAGTAGACAGAATAGGCTGGGCGGATCACCTGAGGTAGTTTTTCTCTGGTCTTTTTTTTTCTATATCATGTTTACAGAGCTTTGAAGTAGTAATTATGCTTAATTATCTTATTGAATATCAAGGGAGGAGGAGCCCGGTTGTGAAAATTTTTGAATACCAAGGAGTTTGAATTGTATTCTCTGATCAAGAATGCTGAATTTGGCCAGGTACTGTGGCTCATGCCTGTAATCTGAGCACTTTTAGAGACTGAGGTGGGAGGATAGCTTGAGGCCAGGAGTTTGAGACCAGCCTGGGCAACATGGCGAAACCCTGTCTCTACAGATAATACAAAATTTAGCCTGGCATGGCGGTGTGTGCCGGTAGTCCCAGCTACTTGGAGACTGAAGCAAGAGGATCACTTGGATCTAGGGAATCAAGGCTGCAGGGAGCCTTGATTGTGCCATGCGCTCCAACCTGGGTGACAGAGCAAGACCTTGTCTCAAAAGAAAAAAAATGCTGGAATGGGGTTTTACAAAGGCAATTGCCAAGTGAGTAGAGTAGATAGGAGAGGGATTAAGATTGAAAACAGGGAGATCTGCGTGAATACAAATTTAGGTTTAGGTGAGAGATGATGAGAATTAAGAACTGAGGAAGGAGAGAAGGCAGTAGAATCAGAAGAACTGATGGTAATATGTGGAAGAGGAAGGAGGAGAGGATACATTGATTGAACAAATACATCAATACATAGCTTTTGAATGCTTCCAAATAGGCTAGGCATTGCAAGTGTTTTATAAAATCTTTTATGACATTCTCAATTTAATTGGGAGTGCAATACCACACAGTGAAATAACAGTGGTAAGAGGTAAATTACTCTGAGCAGGAGCAATTTCTGGCAGCTTTATGGAGAAGGTAAGAGTTGAGTTTGGTATAGAGGTTATGCTACTAAGGTCAGCTGCTTTCTGTAGACTTGAAGATGAGAGTTAGTTGGTGGGAGGAGAACCATAGGGAAGAAGGAGATCCAGAGCAGGGTACCAGCAGCTTCTTAACCTCATCCAGGATATCTGCCACTTTTTAAATTAAACCATTCTACAGAAGTATCTTAAACTTTTCGGAGTTCTTGCTTATGAGTTTCCAACTATCATGAATATCTTTCATTTCAGTAGGAATCTAACCTCATGATTTGGTTTTGCAATCTTCATAGTGTTCCTGGAAAACAATGGAAAGGACAATTCACCACAGTCCAAAAAAGGTGAAGACCAATGTTTATTTTTAACTTGTTTGTTTTCAGTTTAGTAGGTTTTGTTGCTATTGATTGAAAAATATTTAAGAACATCTTAAGGATAGGATAATTACAAGTTTGTAATTAGAGTATCTGAGGAAAAAACATACTTTGCATACAGAGACGTGGCAGTACCCAAAATGTTTTTCCAGTGCGTATTGTGAGCCTATATGATGTCTTAGAGATGTTTTTCCCTAGAGGTTCCGGACCCAGTTGTGTTTTAGGATTTATTTATTTATTTATTTATTTATTTAATTCACCAATATGATATTTCACATAATAGGAATTACTTTAAAAATGTCATGCCAGCTGGGCGCCATGGCTCACGCCTGTAATCCCAGCACTTTGGGAGGCTGAGGCAGGTGGATCACAAGGTCAGGAGATTTGAGACCATCCTGGCCAACATGTTGAAACCAAGTCTCTACTAAAAATACCAAAATTAGCTGGGTGTGGTGGTGTGCGCCTGTAGTCCCAGCTACTTGGGAGACTGAGGCAGGAGAATTGCTTGAACCCAGGAGACGGAGGTTGCAGTGAGCCAAGATTGTGCCACTGCACTCCATCCTGGTGATAGAGCGAGACTCTGTCTCAAAAAAAAAAAAAAAAGTCACCTGAGTCAGGCATGGTGGCTCATGCCTGTACCTGTAATCCCAACACTTTGGGAGGCTGACTTGGCAGATTGCTCAAGCCCAGGAGTTCAAGACCATCCTGTGCAACATTGAGAAACCCTGTCTCTAGAAAAAATATAAAAATTAGTCAGGCGCCAAAATACAAAAATTAGCTAGGTAGGGTGACACGTACCTGTTGTCCTAGCTGCTTTGGTGGCTGAGGCAGGAGGATCCCTTGATCCTGGGAGCTTGAGGATGCAGTGAGCCGTAATTGTGACACTGCACTCCAGCCTGGGCAACAGAGTGAGACCTTGTCTCAAAAAAAAAAAAAAGTCATTCAAATGACCAGTCTACTTTTTTGGGTTTTCTGGCACACTAATTTGTGATATTATCAGGTTTATAAAAAATTAGATGTATGTAATTATTACAAAGGTTTTAATGTTCTTTTTTATTACCTTTTAATTTCCTCATTGTTCATTTCACAAAAATTTTTCCTCAGAACATTATTTGACATATTTAAATACTGTTATTTAACAATTATAATTACAGTGGCCAGTGTTTGGGCTGTGGAAAAACCATAGAGTCTATTCAGCTGAGTCCAGAAGAATATGAATTTCTTAAGGGAAGAATCATGAGGGATGTGATAGATGGAGGTGACCAGTACAAAAAGACAACGCCTCAGGTGAGTCTAACAGTTTTGATTCCTTCTTGGATTGCTTGTCTAGAGCAGGGGTCAGCAATTTCTGTAAAATGCCAGATAGTAAATATTTTAGGCTTTGTAGGCCATCAGTCCCTGTTGCAACTTTTCAACTCTGCTGTTGTAGTTAAAACAGCCATAGATAATACATAAATGAATAGACATGGCTGTGTTCCAGTAAACTTTATTCATGAAAACAATCAGTACGCTGGATTTGGCCTGCTGGCTACAATTGCCAACCTTTTGGAGAGATTGCTTTAGAATTTCACAGAATAATTGGGTTAGACCATCATCTGTTGGAGTCAATCCTATTATATCGGGACATAATAAGTGCACTTAAACTAAAAAGATGCTTATTTTTTCTGTAAGTGCTTCTAGAAAACTGTGTTTAAGTAGACTGCCATGAAAACATTGTGGTTTCTCACAACTTTTCTAGTCAAGAGTTTATCACATTAACTGATTTGTGTATGTTGAACCATCCTTACGTCTCAGGGATAAATCCCACTTGTTGATGATGAATGATCTTTTTAATGTATTTTGAATTTGGTGTGCTAGTATTTTGTTGAGGATTTTTACATCAATATTCATCAGAGATATTGGCCTGTAGTTTTTTGTTTGTTTGTTTGTTTATTTTGCTATGTCTTTGTCTGGTTTTGCTATCAGGGTAACACTATCCTCATGGATTGAGTTTGGAAGTCTTTCCTCCTCTATTTTTTGGAGTAGTTTGAATAGGATTGGTATTATTCTTTAAATGTTTGGTAGAATTGAGCAGTGAAGCCATCAGGTCCCGGGCTTTTCTTTGCTGGGACACTTTTTATTATGGCTTCTATCTCGTTACTTGTTATTGCTCTCTTCAAGTTTTTTATTTCTTCATAGTTCAATCTTTTTTTTTTTTTTTTTTTTTGAGACGGAGTCTTGCTTTGTCGCCCAGGCTGGAGTGCAGTGGTCGGATCTCAGCTCACTGCAAGCTCCGCCTCCCAGGTTCCCGCCATTCTCCTGCCTCAGCCTCCTGAGTAGCTGGGACTACAGGCGCCCGCCACCACGCCCGGCTAGTTTTTTGTATTTTTTAGTAGAGACGGGGTTTCACCGTGTTAGCCAGGATGGTCTCGATCTCCTGACCTCGTGATCCACCCGTCTCGGCCTCCCAAAGTGCTGGGATTACAGGCTTGAGCCACCGCGCCAGGCCTGGTTCAATCTTAATAGATTGAATCTATCTAGGAATATGGCCATTTCCTCTAGGTTTTCCAATTGATTGGCATATGGTTGCTCGTAGTAGCCACTAATGATCCTTTGAATTTCTGCAGTATTTGTTGTAATGTCTTCTTTTTCATCTCTGATTTTATTTATTTGGGTCTTCTCTCCTTTTTTCTTAGTCTGGCTAAAGGTTTATCAATTTCATTTAACTTCAAAAAACCAACTTTTTGTTTCATGATCTTTTGTATGGTTTTCTTAATTTCAGTTTCATTTATTTCTGCTCTGATCTTTATTATTTAGTCTCCCCATTTTGGGTTTGGTTTACTCTTGCTTTTCTAGTTCTTTAAGACACATATTTGCCAGACGCAGTGGCTCACGCCTGTAATCCCAGCACTTTGGGAGACCGAGGCAGGTGGATCACCTGAGGTCAGGAGTTTGAGACCAGCCTGGCTAACATGGTGAAATCCCGTTTCTACTAAAAATACAACAACAACAAAAAAAATTAGCTGGGCGTGGTGGTGTGTGCCTGTAATCCCAGTTACTTGGGAGATTGAGGCAGGAGAATCGCTTGAACCCAGAAGGTGGAGGTTGCAGTGAGCCGAGATCACGCCATTGCACTCCAACTTGGGCAACAAGAGCGAAACTCCATCTCAAAAAGAAAAAGAGATGCATATTTAGGTTGTTTATTTGAAGTTTTTCTTCTGTTTTGATATAGGCACTTATAGCTGCTTTTGTTATATCCCACCATGCTTAGATACATTCAATGTTATTGATAAGTAAGGACTTAGTCCCGCCATTTTGTTTTCTGGTTGTTTTGTGGTCTTTTTTTCCTTCCTTTCTTCCCTTTAATGAACATGATTTTCTCTGGTGATACAATTCAGTTTCTTACTTTTTATTCTTTTATTTTTTTTATTTTTTATTTTTTTGAGACGGAGTCTGGCTCTGTCGCCCAGGCTGGAGTGCAGTGGCCGGATCTCAGCTCACTGCATGCAGTGGCCGGATCTCAGCTCACTGCAAGCTCCGCCTCCCCCGGGTTTACGCCATTCTCCTGCCTCAGCCTCCGGAGTGGCTGGGACTACAGGCGCCGCCACCTCGCCTCTCGGCTAGTTTTTTGTATTTTTAGTAGAGATGGGGTTTCACCGTGTTCGCCAGGGACGGTCTCGATCTCCTGACTCCGTGATCCGCCTGCCTCGGCCTCCCAAAGTGCTGGGATTACAGGTCAGAGCCACCGCGCCTGCCCTACTTTTTATTTTTGTATCTGTTATATGCCATTTTTTTTTTTTTGAGATGGAGTCTTGCTGTGTCACCCAGGCTAGAGTACAGTGGCACAATCTCGGCTCACTGCATCCTCCACCTCCTGGGTTCAAGAGATTCTCCTGCCTCAGCCTCTTGAGTAACTGGAATTACAGGTGTGCACCACCACACCCAGCAATTTTTTTTTCTTGTATTTTTACACAGACAGGGTTTCACCATGTTGGTCAGGCTGGCCTTGAACTCCTGACCTCATGATCTGCCCGCCTTGGCCTCCCAAAGTGCTGGGATTATAAGTGTAAGCCACCACGCCCGGCCTTGTTGTATGTTTTTTGATTGGAGGTTACCATGAGGCTCACTAATACTTTTCTGTAGCCTATTATTTTAAGCTGATAGTAATTGAACACTGTATAAACAAACAAGCAAAAAGAAAACTAATAAAAACTCTACAGCTTTACTTTGTCTCCCTGCTTTTTAACTTTTTATTGTTTCTATTTATATCTTATTGTACTATCAGTGTCTTGAAAAGTTATAGTAGTTATTATTTTTGATTGACTCATTGTTTAGTCTTTTTTTTTTTTTTTTTTTATCAGAGTCTCGCTCTGTTGCCTAGGCTGGAGTACAATGGTGCAATCTCGGCTCACTGCAACCTCCGCCTTCTGGGTTCAAGTGATTCTTCTGCCTCAGCCTCCCGAGCAGCTGGGACTACAGGTGCCCGCCACCACGCCTGGCTAATTTTTTTGTATTTTTTAGTTGAGACAAGGTTTCACCATGTTAGCCAGGATGGTCTTGATCTCCTGACCTCGTAATCTGCCTGCCTTGGTCTCCCAAAGTGCTGGGATTACAGGCGTGAGGCACTGCCTCACTAAACTCATTGTTTAGTCTTTCTAAAGATAAGAGTAGTTTACACACCATAGTTACAGTGTTATACTGTGTCTTTTTGGGTACTTACTATATATACCCTCAGATGATTTCTTATTGCTCATTAATGTCCTTTTCTTTTTTTTTTCATTGAAATGGAGTCACGCTGTGTTGCCCAGGTTGGAATGGAGTGGCATGATCTCAGCTCACTGCAACCTCTGCCCCCCGGGGTTCAAGTGATTCTTGTGTCACACCCTCCCAAGTAGCTGGGATTACAGGCACCTGCCACCAGACCTGGCTAATCTTTGTGTTTTTAGTAGAGACAGGGTTTCACCACGTTGGCCAGGGTGGTTTCAAACTCCAGACCTCACGTTATCCACCTGCGTCGGCCTCCCAAAATGCTGGGATTACAGCTGTGAGCCACTGCACCCGGCCTACGTCCTTTTCTTTCTGCCTTTTTTTTTTTTTTTTTTTTTTTAATGTAGAGGCAGGGTCTTACTATGCTGCCCAGGCTGTTCTCAAACTCTTGGGCACAAGTGATCTTCCCACCTCGGCCTCCCAAAGTGCTGGAATTATAGGCGTGAGTCACCAGAGTAACTGTCCTTTTCTTTAGGGCAGAGTAACTGCCCTAATCCTTTCTTTATTCATTGAAAGTTGAATTATTTGGCCAGGCGTGGTGGCTCACACCTGTAATCCCAGCACTTTGGGAGGCCAAGGCGAGTGGATCACCTGAGGTCAGGCGTTCGAGACCAGCCTGGCCAACATTGTGAAACCCCGTCTATACAAAATATATAAAAATTAGCTGGGTGTGGTGATGGGCCTCTGTAATTCCAGTTACTTGGGAGGCTAAGGCAGGAGAATCATTTGAACCCGGGAGGTGGAGGTTGCAGTGAGCCAAGGCCGGACTATTGCACTCCAGCCTGGGCAACAAGAGCAAATCTCCATCTCAAAAAAATAAAAAACCAGAAAAAAAAGAAAGTTGCATTATTTGGCCAGGCGCAGTGGCTCACACCTGTAATCCCAGCACTTTGGGAGGCCGAGGTGGGTGTGAATCACTTGAGTTCAGGAGTTCAAGACCAGCCTGGCCAATATGGTGAAACCCTGTCTCTACTAAAAATTAAAAAAAAAAATTAGCCGGACATGGTGGTGCGTGCCTGTAATCTTAGCTAATTGGGAGGCTGAAGCAGGGGAATCATTTGAACCCGTGAGGTGGAGGTTGCAGTGAGCCAAGATTGCACCACAGTACTCCAGCCTGGGCGACAGAGTGAGACTCCATCTCAAAAAAAAAAAAAAAAAAGAAAGTTGGATCATTCAATGCCTTGAGGTAGTCTTTTTTTTCTTTTTTTTTTTTTGAGATGAAGTCTTGCTTTGTTGCCCAGGCTGGAGTGCAGTGACATAATCTTGGCTCACTGCAACCTCTGCCTCCCAGGTTCAAGTGATTATCCTACCTCAGCCTCTGGAGTAGCTGGGATTACAGGCACACGCCACCATGCCCTTCTAATTTCTGTATTTTTAGTAGAGATGGGGTTTCACCATGTTGACCAGGCTGGTCTGGAACTCCTGGACTCATGATCTGCCCACTTGGCCTCCCAAAGTGATGGGATTACAGGCGTGAGCTGCCATGCCCAGCCCTGACTGTGTATTTTCAAATAACCTGTCTTCAATCTCACTAATCCTTC